CTTACTACTCTTATCGATACATGTTGGTATTTCCTTTTTAAGTTTACCATTATCCTCCAACTATAATATAATTCAGTTTAAATCACTGTAACAAATATTATATAGAATGATATATAAAAAAAAATGTCACCATATATAAATATAATATATATATATATATATATATATATAAAAGTATAAATTTATTTGATATATATAATTTTAATATTAATTTTGAATAATATTTAATAATATATATTATATATCACAATAATATATACATATCAATATATACTTTTTAATTATATATAAACATATATTATATTTATTGTATAAATAATAATTGTTTTAATATCTATTATTATATGAGTATAAGATGAGTGTCATATTACATCACATTTTTTTTTAAGTAGATCAATCCCAAGATAAGACTTCAAAGTCCTGACAGAAACCTGATGAAACCTTGAAACACTAATGTTGTGATTTGACTTCAAAAACATTGAATTCATAATCAAGTTACCAACAAACAACATCTTTACGCGTACTTTACATATGTTTACCCCCACACCTAGGACCCTTGTTTAGAAAATGGCAGCCACAGCCAGTGAAGCATCATTGTTAGAAAGCACCATTCATAATAAAAACGAAACACAAACTAAACCTGTGTATATAATTTCCAACTTTTACTAAAGGTGCTTTATGTTCCTTTCGGCTATACACTGTTTTGAAAATAGCTACTTCCATCGGTTTGAACTATCATTACTCTTCGTTTTTCGTAAAGTAAAAGCTCCCTTTTATGATTTGAATCAGAAGGCTTGGAAAAACAGATTGTCTCACTACGGAAGAGATCATTGCAACATTGTTATGTGGGCTAAAGAAAAATAATATATTACAAGTTAAAATTAAGTTATATATAAATAATAATAAAAAAACACATTTCAGAGAAACTAATGATATATTTCTTATAAATTAACTTATATATGCCTAAGTTAATTTTAACTTTAGAAAAGATTTATTTTATTTTTCTTCTTATTTTCTTCTTGAATGAATAATAGAGGAGTTTATCCAAACAAAGATAAAAAAGGTATGCAAAAGAATAAACAGAATTCTTTCTCTTATTTGTTCTTCATCTCACATTAAGACATGGTACCGAAAATATATTATGCATGGCACTAATTAGTGTATCATTATGCCGCTAACCATACACATTAATATGTCACAATCGAAATTCGTCAAAAAATAGTTTTTTTTTTTTTTGGTTTTCTTAGATATCATCCGATTAAGTGTTAAAGACTAATTTCTTGAAATACAGATTTCTTTTTTTTTTTCTTTTTTTTCTTACCGTTCATTCTTTTTTGTTTTTCTCTTCCATTTTTCTTAAGGCAATAATTTTTGTTATTTTCATTTTTTTTTACTTGTGCTGGTTGTTCTTTTGTTCATGTACTATGATTTCTTATTTTGAAAATTTTAATGCATAAATTGAGTTTTTTTTTTTTGAGTTTATATATTATTAGTTATTTAATTTATATAATATTAGAATAATGGTCATCTCATCCGTTAATCCACTTTTGAAGTCAGACGCTCTACTCTTTTATCGAAAAAGTTGTAGATTACACGTTGAGAGGAATCACGGGATATCGTACAAAATCACCAAAACTTTTTCAATATGGAATCATCCAATAAATAATGCATATTAGAAATGTAAATCATAGTATTCATATCCTTTATATATATAGAATAAAGTAAGGGTGAACAAAAAAAAATTGAACTAAACTAGAGGCAAATTAAACTAAACTATACTATAAAAAATTAAATTAATTTCATAAAAAATTAAATTGTTTAAAAATTAAATTAAACTATAAAAATTGAACTATTTTTATAAAAAGGTAAAAGTTAAATGTGTCTAAAATGATTCATCTTGATGGATTAATCCCATAATTCAACAACCCAAACTTCGGGAAAAAAAAAATAATCAAAAGAAATTGTGCCTGATCAAAAACGTGGAATCACTAATTTTTAGATTTGAAATCTCCTATGTTTATTTGTCCTGTCTTGATAAACTAACAAGTTAAAATAGTTTAATTCAAAATATCATAACAATTTAGTACAATTTAAATTGTAATTAAATTCAATTCAATATAACAAAAGAAAATTTTAGTTCAATTTACATAAACTAATATGCAATTCAATTCAACTTAGACGAATTTCTTTAAGTTTAGTACAGTTATTATAAGTTGAATTTGGATAATTGTTCAGCGGAATTGATTGGCTGGGAATATTAGTCCGCTTATTGCTACCCTGATACGTGCCTAATATCTTCATGCATAGCCTCATTTGTTCCATTAACTTGTCGAATGAACAGCAACAAAAACTCACATTTTAACATGTGAAATGGCATTTCCTTTGCAATAATCTAGTTACATTTGTCCTCTGCAATGGCGTTTTTTCAACAGAAGGGCAAACATGTAAGACATTTAATTTATGTGATAATTTTCTCATTCCTGTATTGTGTGGCTCAGAATTTTTCCCCCCAAAAATTTCTACCCCATTTCTCCTCTAACCAAACTAATGAATTTCCCACAACCCCTCCCATTTAAATCCCTCTCATTACCCTTCCTCCCAATTCATCCAATCCAAACAAAGTGTTACATGTCATATAAACAAGCAGAATCAACACCTTTAGACTCTTCATCTAACTATAACCAACCATCTATGTAACTCCAACTTCTTAACCAAATTAACTAATGTCTCAACACCTCCTCCCCCCCTTTCACGGCAAGATGGAAGCTACATACTTAGCACGTACAGCTTAGGATGAGTAATGCAAAGTGAAATACAATTAGAACATGGGTAAAAAGTACAACTCGTAATCAAATCAACAAAATAGAACGTGATGTGCATTGTGGGATGCCAGAAAAATCACAAATGTGGTAGTAATCGACAAAAAAGGTCAACTTGGGCAAGAGGGTTCACACCTGGCAGAAACTACACTCAATGCTTAACCATCAAGAGTTCAGTTAAATGTGAGACAACCATTCAAGACAAAACGAAACAAAAATATCAATGTTTAACCATCAATTGCAGAAGCCCACATTAATGCTTAACCACCATAAGCAAAAGCTTCAATCAAAGTCCTCTTAGAATGCAAACCAATCCTTTACTAAAGAAACTGAATCTGTCCTCAAAGGGGACTAGAAGTCTAAAACCAAACTCTTTGTGAGCACAAATTCAACTCACCAAGTGACAAAAATAAAAGAGATATCAAACTAACCAAAGATGATAATAACCAAAATAACCAAAAACAGGCCTTCACCAAGCCTGAAAAATGAGAGATCTAGAGTACACCATTTTCCTGAAAATATTCAACTCCAACTTCCTTAAGCCACGCTCACTGTACCATCTAATGTCAATCAACAATCAAGCAATCCTATATCTCATGAGCCCGAACAATGTTACAATGTCAAGAAATCAAGAGCGCAAATAGTGCTAGCTTCATTGAAACACCAAGTACAATGACACCTTAAGCATAGCCATGTCATCAGATTCCAAGATGGAGAATTGTATGAAACATGGAGGTGGTGATGTGGCAGATTGAGGTTAACACTAATATCTATAACCATACCTGTGCAATTGTAGGGTCGTGACTTGAAAAAAGCAAAGACACATATTCTTGCCAACAAAGGGAAAAACAACATGAAGCCAACCAAGAATGACCATAAATTTTGACTGCCTCTGTGCCATCACAAGCATAGCAGCATTTGGTTTAATATCACTGAGCAGGACCGGAAAAACACCACAAATGGAACATTCAAAGGTTCAAACAACCGAACTCTAGTTAAATCTTCAAGAAACTAAGCCCTTCCAAGAAACCACACATCCAGATTTCAATGAAAACCAAATATTCTCATTGCTGAAATCGGAGCAAAAAAGCCAATGAAGAGTTTGAGAACCAAAACCTCGGACTGCTTCATGGAAATACCAGAATCTTGAGTTTTGGAGAAGGGTGGGAGAGAGACAGAGAGAGAAATCACATTGAACCTTGGGTAAATTGGAAGAAAGTTTCGATCCGAGTTTGATAGAAGAAAAATTGTAGTGAGAAATCCATGAAAGAAAAAGCAAGGGAAAGAAGACAAATATGAGTTTTTGGGGAGCTCTACACAGAAGAAGGAAATTTCCATTTCCTGGTAGATGCCAACACCCTCATTCCAGGTTGAGAAGCATGATAGAGCCCAAAGAGAAGAAAATTCAGAAAAATGAGAGAAAAGAACAAAGAAATGATTGAAAAATTGAGGAAAATACAATTAGGCCTAAATGTGGCTTACATAAAAGTAGATTAGCAGGACCACTAGGATCGGCCTAATGATGGGAGATTGAGGGTAGTATTCAAAGAGTCTTAGGTTCAAACCATGTTGTGTCATTGTAATTCTTATGAATAAAATAAAAGACACCTATCAACTAACTATAACCAATCATCTAACTAGCTCCAACTTACAAAACAATTCAACTAATAATGGATGGAGATGAGACACAACCAGAACCTTCAAAATGGACCCATGTAGAGCACAAAAGACAAGGACTAAGCCTCCAAATCAGACTTGAACAAAGAGAATGACAACAATTCAAAGATGATAAAGACAAGATATAAAAGATGAAGACCACAACCTCCAAATCTAGTTGTTGAGCACTAATTCAGAACATGTCAAAGAATTGTTAAGTTCAAGCACTCAAGAACTGGGACGTATTTGTTCTTTCATTGGTTTATATTTGAGGATTATCTCAAAGGGAATTGGAAAGCATTCCCCAAAAAAAAAAAATAACTTCTCAAGTCTTGTCTCTTCCAAGCTTTCCCCTTTCTCCGGAAAATGCAACAAAAAAAATTACCAAAGATGTATCTGAAGAGGATTAAAATTCAAAAAACAACGACAATCAAACCTAATCAAAGTATGGACAGCCTAATAAACAAAAAAAGTATATCACATGAACTTTGAGAAATAATAAATGAACAAAACTAGAAAGCTTCGGGTAGGAATGTTAGCTTGATTTATCCAAAGCATTTGCTTTATTATATAAGGAACAAATTAGAGTCATTTTGAGTTCATGTTAGCTCATTGTAATTGGTTAAACTTCCCAATAGCAAAGCGACAAATTATATAACCCAGTCACCTATTCGGGTTCCAAGTGTAACACACCATAAATCATATGCTTCAGCATTCACTCTTAAGAAGAATCCGGAAGAAGTACCTCAAATGAACTCCATAAGCAAGACAGAACTTGAGAGCTCAAGACAGCAGATAATCAAAAGATATCTGAAGTCAGGAATATGCCTTGGAAAACCCTCTTGTATAGGGTTTTGTTAAAAGCATCATACCCATATGTTTCCTCCATGGAGGTGTTTTCTTGACCATAAAAGGATGTGAATGTGAAACTTTACTGACCACCAGAACTGCGAAGTTGCAACCTCTTCCTCTCAAACTCAAGCTACAAAAGAGGAAAATGAAAAATCAATATTAACCAAGTACTACCTAACAAAAAAAATTGCATTACACAAATGGATTATTTTGATAAGACTATCAGGGTAAATTATATATCAAAAAATAGAATGCCATGTTTTCCTTAAATGGTCATAAAAAATCACTGAAGATTGATTCAACAAATTTAAACTGCAGTATGCAACTGAAATTGCGACCTTATGGACTACATTTGCTCTCAATTTCTTGCAATTTTTGTATTCAAAATGAAAGCACTACCTCAACTGTGATAAAAACCCAATGTCATCAATAATGGATGGTGGCTTATGGCGGTAAGCCAAAAATCCACCATGTACATATGGCGGATGGTGTGGCAGCTTATGACGGATGCCATGGTAAACAAAAAATTAATTTATATATATATATATATATATATATATATATATGTGTGTGTGTGTGTGTGTGTGTGTGTGTGTGTGTGTATAAAATAAAAATAAAAATAAACATTAAAAATAAATTAAACAGACAGCATAGATAAATTAAAAACAGCATAATCATACACTAAATTTCAAGAAAATACCTCTAGTCTCAAAAGAATAATGTCATAACACCCATCAAAGACTTAATGGTGATTAAAAATGATAAATAAAGAATAACAATTAAATAAGACAAGTTGAAAATATAATAAAAATATATCTGAATTTAAAAAAGAATTAACAAACATAACCCAAAGTATTAAAAATGATTGAAAAATAATAGGCTTTTAAATAAAATTAAAACAAAAGAATTAAAATATAAAACCAAAATAATATTTCTAATAAAAAATATAAATAATTGTAATCAAAAACAGAATAAACTCAGTGAACTCGTTAAACTCACAAATCTGTTGTGGTTTTACGATTTTAGAAGAAAAAAAATTAGAATTTTCTGACACCACCACGTCGTATTGAATTGATTTAAACCCTCCCCTGTAATATCTTATTCAATTCACACTGTTGGACCTAAAATCATTCTCCTCCCCTTTCTTGATGGAGAGACACATAACATGTGGCTCTGCTATTCAAGAAATCCACAACTGCCCCTGCTCGTTGCTGTTCAACAGTCTCATTACCAGGACCAGACCCTTCTCATTGGTTAACAATGATGAAGATGGTGAGGAGGAAGACAGTAACAATAACAACAGTGAAAGGTTTAAATGTTAAAAATTTTAACATTACAAAGCTTTTACTTTTTAGATTTTACTAATGGAATTTTACTTTAATCATCTATGGATAATTTTAATTTAAAATTTTGTTACAAATTACTCTATTACTTATGTCCTATGTAGTTATCATATTTTCACTATTTTGTTGATTTGAATATCTCTAGATAACTTTTACTCATTACTAGTATGATATTTTATTGTTTATGCCTTAGGACCAGTATGATATTTTATTATTTCTGTCTGTTGGTACATATAAAGTTAGATTTTTAATATTATTTTAATATGACGTAAACTAACAATTTACGATTCGAGTTTACAAATCCTCCACGAATTTACCTAAACTCTCGAGTTTAACAACCTTGGAGAAAAAGAAATGAGTAGAACCAGAGAAAGAACAGAACAACCAAAATCAAAAATAGAATTCAAAAAACGAACAGGTAAAAGAAAGAACAAAAAATAATTAGATGAAGAGAATGGGAAATGAAGTCAAGTTTGTTGGAGATGGTCGTCATCAGAGCAGAGATGGTCATTACTAGAGCAGAGATGGTAGGTGGAAGAAACAGTAGCTGTGTTACGTTTAATATCTGGAATACAAGAATCTTTGTAGGGTTTTTTAAAACATGTTGGGCCTTGGGTTGGATCAGATTACATGGCCCAAACTCTTCTTTTTTCATTTTTCTTAGGGATTTTATCCATTTTAGGCCTAAATTTCTGCAATTTCCACCATAACCACATCACACGCCATGGACACCAGGTGAATAGCAGGCGCCATATTGGAAATGGCAGACAACGCCATAATACACAAAATAGTGGATATTAGCGAATGGTGGAGGGGTTCAAAAATGCCACGTTATACCTTTATGGCAGCACCATAATGGTTATTTGATAACATCAGCGGGTAGCAACTGGCGGAGAGGCTACAAAACGGCACCCCATACAGCCATGGTGGTGCCATAACCATTTTTTAACAACATTGCCACAACCGTTGAAAATCATGCATAAAGATTTGAACCCATAACCACCTAAAAACTACCCAAACCCCCCATCACTATGCCATTTCAAATTATTGGTTATACTACAACTTAAAAAGCTTTTCAAAAAATCAAATATAATTAACATTAAAGGAAAACAAAGTTCTCTTGATTAAGTTTTCATTTTGCTTTCAGTAATGTACTTTTTTTTAAAATTATAATAAAGCCCTATGCACAAGCAACTCTAGTGCACATACTGCTATAGCAATCTATATGATATTTGACATGCCATAAATACAAACATTTAGACGCATCATAACATAGCAAAAGAAAGATAATTACCACTTTCTTCACCCGATCATTTGCAGCAGGAGTACCTCCAAAAACAGATTCAGGGTGATATGGACTGCTGACACGCACCTCATTCATCACAACAATGACTGTCTTGTCCCAGCGGACTGGAAGCCTGCGTACATGCTAATGTCATCAGTTAAAAAGAAATTAAATCTACTGAGAAAAATATATAAAAGTTAGAAAAGTGAAGATCCTAAGGCAAAGACCAAAAAGAGCACCCTAAGGCATGTGGGGACTGGGGATTTTAATGCCGAGGCAAGAACCAAAAAAGTGATCCAGAATACCTAAAGAGTGCAACTTGTGGCATGAGTGCAACTTGTGGTATTAAGTGATCCCCAATTTTTTAATTTGAAAACAAATAAAAACTGACCCCCAAAATGCATAAAATTAGATGGATACTATCCCTGTAAAGTACAGCCGCTATCCAAGTATCCATAAAAATTGCATTTGCTTATGCACATTATCACAAGACCATTAACTAAATAACTACATACAAACTGCAAGGAGAGACTAAAATTTTATAAAGAATATACAATGTGTAGTATAATTATATGGTTAGGGATGAGAACAGCTGACAGAGTCAGAAATCATATTAAAAGGTCTAAGTATTGAATTAGTTAACATCCACAACTTATAGATAATAATTGTTGTTTCATGTTACAACTTAAAAATCTAATAACAAGAAAACAAAGATATATCAATTTTTCTAGCATCTATATTCTGATTCGAAAAGTATGCATACTCCAAAATGATCAGGTGTTTTCCTTTCTCCTTTTAGCCCCACAAAGAAAAAATAAAAAGAACAAGCTCCCATTCCCTTCATATTTTTTATTTAGGGACTAGGGAGGTTTCAATTACTAGAAACAGAGAGACATATTTTAGTGCAGTTAAAGGGTTTGGCTATGGGGGATGCAACATGGGAGGATGAAATGAACTTGTGCAGTCAATTTCCCCATCTCAGCATTGGGGACAAGGCCGTCCTTCCAGGGCCAGGAAGTGATAGAGACCCGCTGTTGAGCCCAAATCATGAGAAGCATGGTAGTAAGTATCGCACGATTCGCGATACGTATCGTACGATACGATACAGAGCCTCCGCGATTCGAATCGCATGTAGAATCGTTTTTGATTACGAATCGTATGCGAATCGCTTGAATCGTGTTCGGAATCGGAAAATCGCGATTCATAGGAGAAATCGCACGATTCTGAACATTTTGGGTCACCCCCGAAACCGGGTCGGGTCACGCACGACCCGGTTCTAAAAACCCTAAAAAAATGATTTTTTAAAAAAAAAAAAAACGAAATGAGACAGAAACTCCCGCTTAGACTCCCTGTACATGACCCACTTAGTGGGTTTCACTTTTTGTGGTCCATTTGCGTGGTCCAACTTCTCTGTTTCGTTTGTTTGGGTTGCTGTTCGTGGTCCAAGGTAAGGGCTTCCTTCTTGTTGCTGATTGGGTTGCTCTTGTTGCTGCTTGGGTTGCTGTTCGTGGTCCAAGACTCCAAGGTAAGGGCTTCCTTCTTGTTGCTGTTTGGGTTGCTGTTTGTGGTCCATTCCTTCACTTGTTCTCTCTTTTTTTCTTTGTTATTCCCTCTACAACTTCCCTCTCTTGCTGCTGTCTAAGTTTCTATTTATTGGTACTTGGTAGGCCATTAAAAAATGGGTCATTCAAAAAGAGAGCCGGATATCACTTGGAACTATTGTGATAGTATCCCTCCAAATAGACTCAAAGTAAAATGTAAGTTTTGTTCTCATGTTTGTTGGGGTGGTATTTCAAGGATGAAACATCATCTTGCGGGAACAAAGGAAAATGTGATTGCTTGCACAAGTGTTCCGGATGATGTGAAGGAAATATTTGTCAAGCTCTTGGAAACTAAAGATAAAAAGAAAGAGGATTGCTTGAATATAGAGAATGGGACAGTAAAAGGAAAAGAGGGAACATTTCAAATTTTCCAACAAAAGACAATGAATGAAGTTTGTAAAGATAGGGAATTTGTGATTCAAGAAATTTGTAAATGCATTTATGGTAATGCATTACCATTTAATTTGGTAAGGAGTCCTCTTTTTATTCAAATGTTGAAGGTTGTTGGAGAATATGGGAGAGGTTTGAAGCCACCAACTTATCATGAGGTGAGGGTTTCTTTTTTGAAGAAAGCTGTTGACAACATCCAAAAAAGCTTAGAGAAATATAGAAGTGATTGGGAGAAATGGGGATGCACCTTGATGTGTGATGGTTGGACGGATGGAAAAGGAAGATCACTCACTAATTTTCTTGTTAACAGTCCAAGTGGGACTGTTTTTTTGAAATCTATTGATACTAGTGATGTGATAAAGGATGGGAAAAAAATGTTTGAATTGTTAGACAACATTGTTGAAGAAATTGGGGAGGAGCATGTAGTCCAAGTTGTGACGGATGGGGCTTCTAATCTTGTGGCTGCTGGACAAATGTTAATGGAGAAGAGAACCAAACTATTTTGGTCCCCATGTGCAGCCCATTGCCTTGATCTAATCCTTGAGGACATTGGAGAGCTTCCGGTATTCTATAATACCATTGCTAATGCAAAGAAGATTACTACCTACATATATAGGCATACATGGGTCCTTAATTTGTATAGACAATATTCCAATGGAGGGGAATTAGCAAGACCAGCTGTGACAAGATTTGCAACTTCTTATCTTACACTAAATTGCATTAAACAACAAAAGAATGCTCTTAGATCAATGTTTGCATCGGAGGAATGGGCTACTAGTCCACATGCTAGTAAAAGTGAGGCTAAGCAAGTCATGAACCTAGTGTTGAGTGATGATAGATTTTGGAGATCAATTACATATTGTCTAAAGTGCGTGATTCCACTTGTGAAAGTGTTAAGGCTTGTAGATGGTGATTCAAAGCCAGCCTCACCATACATTTATGAAGCAATGGATAGGGCTAAAGAGAAAATTGCTCAAAACTTTCAAATGCAAGAGTCAAGGTATAAAAAAGTGTGGAAGATTATTGACACTAGGTGGAATCTGCAGCTTCATAGGCCTCTTCATGCAGCTGCCTATTATCTCAATCCTAGGTAAATTATTTAAAAATAATTATCATTTTAAGAACTACTATTTTCTTTGTGCCTAGTAGCTAAGTTATTTCTTATTTGGTTAGGTATCATTATGACAAGAACTTCAATCCGGATAGTGAAGTGTTAATTGGTTTATATGAAACCTTTCAAAGAATGGTTCCGGATATAAGGACAAGAGTTATAATAGATCAACAACTTGAAAAGTTTAAGGGAGCTAAGGAGATCTTTGGAATGGACATGGCAATAGCTACTAGAGATAAGAAACAACCGGGTATCCCTTTAATTTTTACTCTTTATTAATATCATAAACATAATACATAATAATTAATAACTACATTTGTAAAATAAATACATTTTTTTTTGTAGCTCTTTGGTGGGAGAGTTACGGTGGAAGAGGTAAAGAGTTACAAAAGGTGGCCATGAGAATTTTGAGTCTTACATGTAGTGCCACGGGATGTGAGAGAAATTGGAGTACATTTGACCAAGTGCATACTAAGAGAAGAAATCGATTGGAGCAACAAAGATTAAATGCACTTGTATATGTCAAATATAATCTTCAACTTGAGATGAGGCAAAATAGTAGAGAAGAGAATGGAGATACCTATGATCCCATATGTTTGTCAGATATTGAATCCGATGATGAATGGATCACCGAAAAGGAGAATCCTTGCTTGCCTATTGATGCCTCATGGATGGATGTACATGAGTGCTTTGGTGTTGATGAGGGAGCTCCAAAGAAGAAAAGAAAGAGAGGTAATTATTTATATTTAAAAGTTAGTTTAGAACTTGGAAGTTGGAATTAGAACTAGACCTTATTATTTTCTTATTTCTTTTGATTACATAGGTCCAAGAAACTTGAATGCCAAGATTGGTAAGGGAAAATCAATAATAGAAGATGAGGATGAAATTGAAGATAATGAAGAAGAAGAACTTTTGATATTAGAAGATGAAGATGACTTGAGTGATGTAGATCTTGGGGTTGGGGATGATGAATGATCTTGGATAGGGGCATTTTGTATAGATTTTTTGAGGCCATATGACTGAATTTGTGTGGCAGAATTTGTGTGGCAGTAGCACCACTTGTTGCTGAGTTTATGCTGCAACAACACTAATATTTTTTTTGGGTAGCTATATTGCTGAATTAGAATAGCAATCAGTCCTTGGTATATGCATATATTTAGCAACAACAATGATTTTTTTTGGAGGCTTTGTTGTTGAACTGTGCAGTCATTTCTTTTGGCTTTGAGACTGTTTTTATTTGTATAATTGTATCTTTGTTTGTATTGAAGTTTATATGTTACTAATTACTATATATTTATGTATGACTTCATTTTTATATGTCTTGTATGCATATATATACACTATGTTTTTATTGATCATGAATCTTACGATTCACGATACGATTCGATTCACGATTCAAAAAATAAGCCTTCCGATACATTATTTGTATCTCGATTCAACTACCATGATGAGAAGCACAAGTTTGGAAAGTGTGTATGTGTAAGAACAAGAATGTTATCAGGGGGGTGATAATTAGAATTGTTAACCTTTGCTAAGCTGGCAATGTTGTTTCTCAAAGTAGCTTAGATACTAGAGAGGTGGGCTGCAGAAGTTAGTTAGCCATTATGGTATTGTTTTATTTGACAGCGAATACTCTTTCTCTGAGCTTGCTTATACTCTCTTCAGTCGTTTTCCAATAGTATTGGTATGTCAGTGTTCTATCATTAACCTTTTTGTGAAATGGTCAAAAAGGAGTTTTTAATCCTATTATGCCTATGAAGCAAAAAATGCATTAGAAAATGGGAGAGAAATCACAATTTTACTCAAAATACCCTAAACAACATTGTTTTAGGGATAAAAATGGGTTTTTGAATCCTATAATCCCAGAATCCCCGCTAAAGCAAGTGAAAAGCCGCTATTGAAAACTGCTTCTCTACTTGAATCCCATAGCAACCTAGGGCTGCTCTGCTCCACTACACCACTATAGTGTGCCATCAACACGTATAGTTCCCAAAACGCATCTCACACTGTTTTCCAAAACAAAATGACAGAGTTTCAGTTAAAATTGGGGATTCCCCCCTTTGGCTTAGTTTGCCCATTTTCATTTCCCTACTCAATTAAGCCTGTGTCTGGTTCAGCACCAGAAACTTAAAACGTGGATCCAAGACGTAAAACATCAGAGACTAATATATGTAACTCCTCCTTTGATGTGGGTCTTGGATGCAGAATTTGACAAGCACAACTACAAATATCCTATTTGTTTATTAATTCCTTTTAAGCTGCACATTTTCACAAAAGCCTACAAATATTCTATTCTATACATGCCATGCTCCAAAACCTATTTGTTTCAAAACTCAAATCAAAGATTAGTGTATCCTTACACTAGACAACACACACTAACGTGGTGAAGTCGAACAACAGTTGAGTGACACAGCACTTACGTCTTAGACAAAGCATCAAAGATGCTCTGTGCCTCGCTGGTAACACCAACCCCAATCCTCTCAGCATCAGCCTCCGCTTGTCTGCAAGCGCAAATCATGAGAGGCCAAACATGAATTTGACGAAATTAAAGGAGAAAAAAGCAGAGAAAAAACCTGACGGCAACATGTTCCCGTGCTTGGAGAGCAGTGAGGTCGAGGAAGCAGGTGTTGGGATCAAGTGGGTCTTGGGCGTGGCCCAGAAAGGTGAAGTCTTTGATGTAATTGGCCTTGAGCAAGCGAATGTTTCGACGAGGGCCGGGCTTGGAAGGTTCCTGGAGTACGAGGATGTTGGAGGGGCGATCGAAGGTGACAACGTGGCCTTCGAATTCGTCGCCCAGCGTTGTCCTGATCGAGAGCATGCAGCCCACAGCCAGGTCGTCAGGGTTGATGTTGTTGGCACCCTCCGTCGCCATTTTTGTTTTTGGTTTTTTTTCTTTTTCCTTCTGCTTTTCTGCTTCTACCCTTCCTTCTTCCACCAAAGACTCTTCCAACTTGTCTCTTTCTTTCTGCACACAATATTAAACTTGTCCTCACCCTTCCAATGCCCTCGCTCTTTGGACCCTTTCCATCTTTCCCATTTGGGCTCCTTTTCATCACCCTCTCTACATTGGGCTTCTCACCATGCCTATGCTCTTCTTTTTCTTTTTTTTTTTTCTTTCCCCAAAGGAATAAATATGTTTTCAATTTTAAAAATTTTATCAACTTTATTTTTAGTCTTTGAATAAATTTTATTTATTTTAAGTTCCTAAAATATTTTTTATATGAAAAAAAAATTCTTGGCATTAGGAGCAAAAGATATTAATGGAGGAAAAGTTCATTTCTAAAAGGGAAAATAGATAAAAGTTTAGGGACTAAAACTAGTAAAAAAAAATTATTTAGAAACTAAAAATGAAAATTAAAAAAAATTTAAAGATTAAAAATATATTTAATCATTTGAATACATGCATTATTTTATGATAAATATCGGTCAGTCAAACACTCACATTAATACCATCTTTAGTATTAATTAAAAAACTATAAAATTTGGTAATTTTTACTATTAAATTTGGAGAAAAACTCATTTATGATGTGTTTTCTAGAGAGGAAAATAATTAATTAGACATAGAGTGAAGAGAAATAATAAAAAAAAAGATAAAAATAGGTATGTGAAAAATAGTAAGAAATAAAATGAAAATTTGATTATTTAATTTAAGAGGAATAAAATAGGGGAAAAAATTAATTATTAATTTTTTTTAATAATCATAAGACGATAATATAAATTTTGCGTCACTAATGTTTAATCAAATCCATATATTTTTAATTGATTAATCGAATAATTGTAGCAGTTTAAAACCACTAGTATTTGTTAAAAAAATATTAAAAAATATTTGTGGTGATCAAAAAAATGTAGATATTAATATTGAAAAAGATTGTGATGGTTTCTAACCGCCACATAATGATTCCAAATATTTATTATTATTCTCACACTTCTATTTTCACACCTCTATTGAAAAAGAGTCGAGCTTTGTATGACAACACAAAACCAACAATTTTTAGTAGTCATATAACTGATATAAGAGTGAGATTAACATGTTTTTTTATAGACTTTTACAACCTCATATCACTTCCTCGTTAAATTTGTACACTACAAACCCATATACTTATTTATTTAATTAAATATAATTTACTTAAATCTTTGTTAATTAATTAAATTATATTTAATTCAATTACTTATTCAAATATTTGCTATATATGAGTGGTCTATATAGGTTTCTATTGAATTGGTAATAATATTAAATATTATAACAATGATTGATATCTATCATTTTCATCTAGTCAATGAGAAAATTAGTGGTCCAATATCTTTCACAACCAAAATTACTATAAAAATAATTTGTCCCTTCTTCTTGAATGAATACGAGACATAAAAGTATTATCCTTGTCTAGTTTGATCACTATTTCCCAATGCCCAAGTAAACATTGAAATCCAATATAATATATTGATAACTTTAAAATTTATAGCTCTTACATGTATAAAAAATAGTAAATTCAAGTCAAAGGATTACTTTATTGTAATTTTTATGAGAAACACTTGTAATACTTGTATAACTATATTATAAAGTCTTCTCATAGTGAATTTATTTAGTACAAATGTTATTCCTAATATTTATACTTGTGTGTTGACATGATATAATTTTACATCTATGACTTGTGAGATGTGGGTGATTATCTATTAATTCACATAATATCAACATATAATTGTTGTCCTAATAAATAATAATTATTGATTACAAATACTTTAAAAACTATATTCTTTATTTAATATAATCTTATAATAACTTACACTTAATATATCTTTAAAAAAAATTATTATAAGAACGTTACTATCTTATACACTAAACAACATATAATAACTGCTCAAATAATTGTTGGAGAGGGTGGCATAATTAAGAGTAACCAAGACCATAGAGGGTTCTAATGGTGAGAGTAGGGTGCCAAATAATCATCTCACAATCGATATGATTTAGATGGGTCAATATAGTTCTTTAAAATATTGTATAATAATAAGAATTATTATTATTTTTTATACTTCTATAGTTCCTCTTGAACTATTGTATCATGATGATTACTTATTTACGATATAATTTTTATTTATTTGTACTTGATATTAAAATTTTATATACGAGATGTTGATAAAAATAGATAAAATAGTTGAGAATAAATGGCTCATTGGACAGAATAAATGGCTCATTTAATCGTGGTGTTATTTCCGTTTTGAGGGTTTTTTTTAACCTAATTAACATGATATTTACACACTAATTTTTATTACACGGATGCCTGTTAATTGTATAGCTAAGTTCACTATGCACGACAATATTGTATTGCATGCTATGAGTAAAGATCTTCTTTATTTAGTTTTCTTTCAATTTCTTTCATTATTAAAGTTTTAAAAATATAAATATGACTCTTTTTAAAATATACATCAGTTTCATCAACTTCATTTTATTAATTTTAAAAAATAGAAAATAAAAGAAATGGAAATAATTCATTTTTGCATGCTAAGGTGTGACGTAACAATATTTAAAAAGTATTATAAATTCTTACCAATTATGATGTGATAATGTAACATATTAGACTAGAAACACATTCAAATATCATTTCTTGTTGCTAAGTTGAAATCTTGTTAGGTATTATATTGATTACGTAAATATTTGCTCATGCAAACTTATTGACGGCACGTTGCAAAAGACATTACTTTTTGACATGAGAGATCATAATAACGAGGTAATGGGTTGAATTCATATGTGGTTAAGAAGTATAAATTACATTTACTTTTATAATTTATCTTTATTTTACGAGTAAAATTGAAATACTATACGCAGAATATCATAAATTCATCAAATCATGTTGCAATCATTATAATTTTTATAAATAAAAATAGATATTTGTCTTTTTTTCTCCTGACAAATGATAGGAAATTTTAAGCTAGCTAGTAGTATACCAGAGAGAAATCTATAAGAAAAATTGCAAACCGGAATAATCACCATAACCACATCATATGCAATGTCTCAGACCTCATATGCAAAGTCGAATCCTTTTCATTGAAAATTGGGACATTATGTGTATGTTTGGTTTAGATTTTCAACGTGATAAATCACATTAAAATAGAAGTTATCAATTATAATTTTTAGTATTTTTGCTCTAAATCACATTTTAGACGTGTAATCAAACATTATAACCGTATAATTTATCACTTAACCCATTTTTCCTTGAAATCCACCCATCCATGTAAAACAAATATTGTCAACTTACTAAATTAATATAAGCTTGTTCAAAATCTACCTTAAAACATATTAGCCAGTAACACCCTATCCAGTATTTGTCTACCTTTTATATAAATGTCTACCTATGGTAGTATTGAGTGCATCACCTTCTTTATCCTAGGTGAACTCATTTTTTGGAATCATCAAAACTATAAAAAAAAATAACTATTTGACCCCTTCACAATTCGCATAAAATTCCATCAAATTCTCTATAAACTCCTTTTTAATAATATTGTCTCTCAAAATTCCTTAATAAATAGAAAATTGAAAAAACATTTCAAGCTTAAAGATTTCGACATTCCAATATTGAGTAACGAGTAATGACAAATACCTGTTCCTCGTATTATTTTTGTTTGAGATATGAATGTTATTATAGTTAACTTGACATGTCCGTTCACGACGAGGTAAAGACATTTTTTAAGCTGTAAACAACATTTCTTTTTTTTTTTTTTTATAAATAAAATCTAAGTCAACGATTAACTTCTCCCCTTTTCACTGCCGATTGGTGGTGAAGATTGCAAAGCTTGTAAATTGATAAGAAAAAAAAAGGAGAAATAGAAGATAACTCAAAAACACTAATTTAGATAATAATGGTTCTTTCTTCATTATGATAATAAAATAAAAATAAATAAATAAATAAAAAAAACACTCATGGTATCACGCGTTAATCTAAGGTTCATGTATCAATTTATACATTTGAACAATGTGGCGTATCGAATCTGTTGAAACAAGCCAACCATTCCAAAACAAAATAAAATAAATGTTAGGATGCTAGAGGAGATTTTCCAGTGAAGTCTTTTCTTCAAGCCATGGAAATTGGAAATGCACACCTTTTACATAGTCCACCATGGATTGATTTCCTCGTCTCTTATACTATCATCCAAATTACCAAAATGCTTTATTAAGAATCATGCTACCAATAATTTGGGGTCTTAACATGAATTGAAGAACTTAGGAATAATATTAAGTGATTGGAAACCATATCATAATCGTTGAGTCTACCTAGTAACACTTGGGATTTAATTTGATTAGACCATTCTCAAGCTATGCATAACCATTCCCAATCCCTTTGAATTTGTATAGATAATCATTTGGATTTCTCTGACACAATCTACCATTGAAGGTCTCTCATTACTCTCACTACGAACACATCGTGATGCCAGATTGGCAAACATGACTATAGACTCAATGGTGTAAGAATTTCGAGCCATCTCTGGATCTATCACCTTACGCAGCTTCTTGCGGTCATTCAATAAGTGTCTCACCTATAATAATAATTGAATGTCAAACATATATTAAAGTCTTTAAGTATTATGGATATTTAATAACCATTTAGACAATACAACATTAACGATCATTTTCCATTATCACGTACCTGTAGTACAAGGTTTTGATCATTTGGACCCTGGTTTAGATCTACAGCTCGACGTCCTGTCAGAAGCTCGAGAAGAACAACCCCAAAAGCATAAACATCACTTTGTAGAGTAAGTTTTCCAGTCTGTTCACAGCAAAACCATATTAATTAATTATGTCAGACCGAGATCACTTGCGTAACAACTTAGATATACATGATATGTATTTATTATCTATACTTTTTTTTTCCTGTCTTATTATCTATACTTCTGCACTCCTAACAAAGGTAATAAGTTTGTTTGGTATACATAATTGTTTTTACCATTTTATCTAATAACTACTTTTAAACCACAACTCTCTCATTATCTTGATATTTTATATGAAATTTTGATTATAAGGTCTGTCATAAAATATAGAATCAACTTTTAGATTGAACTTCTATTTAGGTTAAAATAATATTTAACTAACAAAAGTTTCATCTCACGAATACAACTAAGTTATTGGTTGTCAGTTTTGAGACATCGTGCATATCAAGTCCATGATAAAAAAATAAATAAAAAAAAGGTTGACTAGTGAAAATCAATGCTTCTTATGAGATGGAAAATTTTCTCTTATTTTTTTCAGCCAGGCTTTACAACTCTCTCTATTCCAGAAAATTCTGCTACAGTTATTTCCTGAATATTATTTTAAGCCCAGTTATTCTGCATCAATTATTTCCTGAATTTGCTGGCTTAGTATGAGTGAGTAATGTATCTTACGGTCTGTATTAATTAATACAACGGCTACTAGCAGGCGCTGCATGGTTGTATCACTTGTGAATAGAAAACAACATGCTTGAAATGGATTATGGTATTCTTAAATACATGTTTAAACCTGTGAAATTAATTGACCATGTACAAAAAATGTAATTGCAAAAAAGAATCGATCCTTGTGGCATGGATACATACCGATGTATACTCAGGATCAAAATAGCCGAAGGTACCAAGTACTCTGGCAGTCACATGTGTTTCTTGTCCTTCTGGCATTAGTTTAGCAAGCCCAAAATCAGATATCTACAACATGATTGTTAATTTTGACTCAGTATATGATTCATGCCAAACATGTTATAAATCATCTCAGGGAGTTTATTTATTTTTACCTTTGCTTCAAAATTGGCATCTAAAAGAACATTGGTGGATTTGAAATCCCTATGAACAATAGGAATTCCAAGACAAGAACTTGAATGAAGATAAGCAAGCCCTTTTGCAGCTCCTAATGCGGCTTTGAGTCTCAGAGGCCAATCCATTCTTCTTTCGCCGATTCCTAAAATTGGACATTCATTAGCAGAAGTTGGATGTAACAAAATTTCCAGATAATGTGGATTTTGGGTACATGACCAAGACTAACCATTCAAATGATCTTGCAGGTTCCCATTATGCATATATTCATAAACCAGGAACCTTTGCTTCCCATCAGCACAGTATCCTATCAAAGAAACAAGATTTGGGTGGTCAAGTCTGCTTAATATGTCAACCTCTACACGGAATTCGCGCTCCCCCTCTGCTGCTTTAATCGCTGGCAGCTCCATTTTCTTGATTGCTACAACCTTCAGTGCAAAAGGCATTAATGTTTTTTTCATATTCATGAACAAGGTCCACAAAGTATCTCAAAATTAACAATTAAAGACTAATTTACACTTGCAAAACATGATTTCTGCTGGCCGAGCATTATCTTAATACTGCGAGAATCAATCATATGAACACTAGACTGATTCCCATATTTTAGGACAAACCTTACAACTACTATGTGCTATTTAATTTATTTGTAGCTATATCACATATTTCTGTTCATTTAATTTGCTATTACTCACTCCGTGTGCTATGATGGTGTTGCCAATAATTTTAAGAAACATGATCTCTCTATGAAAGCTACAACTTATGTTACACAAAATATTAAGAATTATGATGACTTCTTTTGGGCTATAAATTACTTATGTTCAAAACACATTACCTCTCCTGACTTCAAAGTGCCCCTGTAGACCCTACCAAATCCTCCTTTTCCAAGCAGATTACCATCACTGAATGAACATGTTGCCTCTTCCATCTCCTTGAGTGTGAAAACAGATGATGCATGCCTCCGTTTTCTGGGTTGTGGTGCTAGATCTTCAAGCTGCCAAAACTCTGCAGGTTTATAAATCCCTGAAATAAGAGTGAATATGCAATTGGTCACTAGATGATGTTGCATGAAGATATTACTCGATACAAGCTTATAACAAGAAAAGGAGGAAGAAAATACAAGGGTCTGAATGATCTTGAGACATGCTTCTTCTACGCTTGTTCCATGCTGAGACCAAACCAAATGGCATGGTGGCTCTATCTTGTATGGTTCTGTCTTAAGAGCTGAAATGGTAGACTGTAACAAAACAAATGCTCAATTGAATGGAGATGACTAATAATTCCATGACACCCTCATAGGTACACGTGGGTTTGTCCAAGAAGAACCATGAAGTGAATCAATCACATTGGAATAGTACTTGGCATGCATTTGAGAGAGCACCATATAAAAGTATTTTCGTAGTAAGGGAATCCTGTTTGGAGTATATATGGAGCAAGTGAGACAAGTGGCAGCACTTTTTTTTTTTTTTGTTATAATCACTTACCAAAATTATCTAGAGTTTTAATCCTCATTTTAAATATGAAATAAATTATGTAAAAGAAAATACTTACTTTATATACATTGATGATCTCTAGTTAAAATTAATCATTACTTTTAGAGATAAATATTTTGTATTAATACCTTGTTAAAAAAAAATACAAGATTTTCTGGGGCAGACAACACAAAGAGGGAGGTATGTACTTTAAGGAAAAGAGAAAGCTGGGAAAGGAAAAGTGGACACTGCTTGCTTGTCTTTTGGTTGGGAAGTGGTGGTGGGGTGCTTACTTTGATAAGGAAATGGAAACTGCACCCTCATTCTCCATTTTCATCTATTTTACGTTTTACTTGTTTATGCAGCTTGAAAACACATTGGGGGTTGGAAGGTCCTTTTCATTTGCTTTCTTCAGTCTTCATCATAAATATTGCTCCTAAATCTTTCTATTGTATGGTGTAACCGTCATCGTTACTATTAATGTCTTCATCATCGGCAATTGAACAAAAGTAATCTACTCATACATGAGCATTTAATGTGGGACCCAACAAGCAATATCTATTTGTTAGTCAATTAGCATCCCCGTTAAATCTATGGCAAGAAAAAAAATACTTGGGAGACTTTTAGAAGGTTATCATATTTGCAAGCAATAGCAATTTGTGTGAAATAAGCCCTCCTAAAATCAAGCATTTCAAAACTTGCGAGGTTGTGGAAAATAAAGAGCAGGAGTTTTTCTTCTTTTCAGTCCTTTATTTTGGTCAAACAGTGTCCAGGAACTTGATTGTGGTTGAAGTATTATGGTTTGTCCTACTCCGTTTTCCTCATTTGTGCTACTTATGGTGTGTTTAGGAATTCGGAGAAGAAAGAATAAAAAAAAATGAAGCAAAGGGAAAAGGATGGAAACTTTACATTTAAAATTGTGTAAAATTTTCCACAATTTCATATTTTTGTGAGATTCTTTACATCACATTTAAAAACTCAAAATAGTACCGATATTTATTTGGAATTTTCCTTACCTCCTTTTACTCTAGACTTCTTTTATAGTGTAGAAAAGAAAAAGGAAAACAATCTATATCTATATACACACATTTTGTATGTATATGTATGTGATTAAAAAAATAAGTCCATATTGCATGTGAGTCATGCATAAATCCTTTTCTATACTTTCTTGTGGATGGAATTTATTAAAACTTACAACAAAAAAATGTTGAACTTACATCATCCTTAAGAACTAAAGCAATACAAGAAAATCATAAATTCTTGCAAATTCTCAAAAAGAGACTTCTCATCATAAGCTAACTTGTCTAATGGTGTGTTTGTTTTATCGTTTCAATGCCGTTTAACTGAGTTTTTCCACTTTCAAAGATAGAAACTTAGAAGCAAAATGAGAGATGGATTGACGTTCAGTTGAATGAAACGGAAAAACAAACACACACTAAATTCTCAAAAAAAAACTTCTCATATAAACTAACTTGTGTGCAATTTAGTTTGTCTCTTGAAGAACATGAGACTAAACAAAAACAACATCATCGTCAATAAATGACAATATATTTTAAGTCATGTTAGAACAAGTTAATAATAGAATAAATCTTATTCTTTAAAACAAAATTAAATTAATTAATCTTATTTTTCAAAATTTGAATTAATTTAGATATATATTATAATGGTGATTTAGTTGGCTTAACAAATAGTATGAATTGTAAATTTTCTTGGCACAGAATTGATTATTATAGATAAAAGAATATTATATCGATGAAAAAGGAATAAATATTTAGTTTTTTTTTATAAATTACATGTATCTTGTATTGGAAACAATCTGGTCGAGTCTACTATTATATGTGACAAAGTCTTCCTTGACTATATAACACAATTATTTACTTAAATTCAAATTATATATCATTAGTTAAGAGATAAAACAATCTTGTAACGGTTGATTCATGTGATTGGTGGTACATAAATGTTTAGTTTGTTCAATTGAAACTTTAATTTATATTAATTGTCACGTATATAATATTAATTGAATTTAATATATATTTTTTAATTTCACACATAATGTTAAATTAATAAAAAGAAAACATAAAGGGGGATTAAGTGAAAGAATCATAATGTATTTTGTTTGATATCATCTAACGAAAAATAAAAAAGACTTCCACTACTTATTTACTTATTCCTTCTAATTTTAGCGCAAATGAACCAATCAATAGCGCAAATGAACCAATCAATACAAAAAAAAGTAAAATACATGAAACCCGCAAATTTGATATCATTTAAACTCCTTAATTTTCTCTTATTTATTAAGCGTATATACCAAAGAAGAGTGTTCTACACCAGCTTAAGGGAGTGAATATTTGTGAATGAAAAAAGAATATTGAATGGATTATTGACATGTAAAGAATTGAATAGAAATAGGAGAGTATGTATCCAGTATGTCAGCTCGCTAATTCTTTTGCATATGTGCTCATTTATTTCTTGATGCTTGAAGTACCACTTCTTTTTTTTTACTGAATAGTAGATGATGCCATATGACTTAGACAATGAATGAAATCTTAATATGCTGGCAGTGATGATTTTGCAAATGTAACTTGGATATGCACTTGAATTGATTGAAAATGTGATCTATTTCGTAAATTAGGATTATAACTTGATAGGTATGGGTTGGTCCACGAGCTTTATAAAACAAGAATGGGGAAAACCTCTTTTGAAAAGGCCAACTTCTGAAGATTCTTCCTATTATTTTGTTCTCAATTAGCATTCAAATCATAACAGATATGCACTTCTGAAGGTTCTTCCTGAAATTTTCAGAGATCGACAAGTATGTCGAGATTTATGATATGTTGTTAGTGTTGTTAGCACGTATATGGCAAACCCCGACAAAGAACATTGGAAGGCAGTTCAGTGGATATTCAGGTATGTGCGTAGTTCTCCTGATGTTTGTTTACATTTTGGGAGAACAAGAAATGGAGTCATTAGTTGGAAAGCTACTTCGCAAACTAGTGTTGCACAGTCTACTACTAAAGTAGTATACATGGCTATTATAAGTTATTTGGTTAAAAGGCTTATCTGATGAGCTTAGTGATGCAAATTATCGGTCTTTTGTGATAGTCAAGTTGCCATTTTCCTCACAAAGGATCGTATGTTTCTTGAAAGGGCAAAACTCATTCATGTTCATTTCTATTTTGTTTGTGAGGTCAATGTTTGTGGTGATATTGTTGTAAACAAGTTAATACTCGTGATAATCCCATTAATATTATGACCAAGACCTATGAAGTACCAATACATCGACAAAATGTTGTGTCAGCGTATTCGACATGTTTTTGATATATTTGTCAAACACTGCATGATATGTAAGCATTACATTCATATTATGTCACAATTAAAAATTATTATTATTTTTGGTTTGGAGACCTTTCTAACATAAATTTAACACCTTTTGACACAACTTGAATTCGAACCAAGGTTGATTTCTACTCTTAACTAAATATTTATCTAAAACTCTTATTATAAAAAAATTTATAAAGTTAACTTATTTATAAATATTACAAAGTTCATAACATTTTTTTTATCTATCTTAAGACTCATTTTCATAAGAATTACTAAATGTTTTAACTTTTAAGATATATGTTTCATTTTCTAAGTGTCATTATCTTACAAAAATTGTAAAGCTTATATATACAAGTAGTGTCTTCGTGTCTTACTTTTTGGACATTAGTTGTATCTCAGTGTATATGTCTCTGATATGTCACATGTCAATATTAGAGATACATGTCAATATTAGAGTTATTGCTTCCCAATACACTTCTAATTACCAAGTTGAGCATTGCTTGTACTTGGTGTCTTGGGACTTTTTCGGTTGAGGATGACTGGTTTTATTGTTGAAATTTGGTTTTTGCGTTTTCATTCCCTTTATGGAATTCATGTCAAGGCACGGAGATTGTTAGTTTATGTGACCCAAATTCTTGGCCTAAAAGTTTGTAGTGTGTCTCTGTGCAGGGGCAAAGCCCCGCAGTGTGGAGCTTTATTAATAAGTTGTTTTCTGATCATGGAGTAACGTTATTTGTATACTTAAATATAGTGTTTTGAGGGTTTTGCAAAGAAATAAGATGTTTTGTAACCACACACTTTTTCTCGCTCTCTTGTACTATTTTTTTGATAAAGTGGATTGACAGTTCCTCTAACGATGGTTTTTTTTTTTTTCTTTCCCAATTTGGGTTTTCCGCATAAATCTTGGTGTACTCTTTTATTGCTCTTTCTCATTTGTCAGTATCATTCTAATAGACGCCTATCTTGCGTAAACTGTCTAGTTTCTACAATCCACATCGATCTACTTTGATTTTAGCATGCCCAATGAATGCAATAATACTGCACTTGGTTTAAGAAAGATAATTGATAAGAATCTCAATCGAAAACTAGTAGCAACTGTATTAAAAGTGTCCTTCTAGCTAGCTTTGCAAAGACTGCACAATCAATATTATCACCCCCTTCCAATGTGAGAATTTTCTATTTCGTAGTTAAAATATTTTTAAGGCTTTGCTGCCAGAGTGAACTAAGATTTGCTATAATAAGTGAAGGTAGATGGGAAATTTAGATCCTACAGAAAATCAGAAACCTAGTCAAAATACAACAATAACAATTCAAAGCCAAAGAATCTTCCCCTACTGCATGAGCCACTTTATATGACTAACTATAACAATTTTAAGTGTCTACAAAACAACCTTACTTTCATGCTGTGTATGTTAAGACTGTCAGATATTCCATGGCAGCCGATGAAGATACATTCTAAATTTCTAATGCTTCATGGTATCACTTATTTGGAATAATGATGGAGCATAAAACTCCTGCATATAAGCAACTGTAGGAACAGGAAAAGAATTACATCAAGTTCAGAAGCCATCTAGTCTGCTGTGTTCTTTTTTTGTACATTAGGCCTCTGAACAGAACTTCATCTATGAGCAGATGTATGAGGCATGGGGTATGGCACAGGACCCAAATTCATCGGTGCCCCAGGAACAACTGTCCCAGGAACGGTGGCTCCGAGACTGTATGCCATGTGTGCTGGGGGAGGAAGATTCACTGGGGTGCCAACTGCAGATACAAGGGGTCCACCAATAGGTTGTCCAATAGTAGGAGCAGCATATATTCCTACGCCTTGGGCAGCAGTTGGGGTTGGAGGGGCTGGTTTGGTTGATTTTCCGGCAGAATTTGCTGCTGAGCCATTTGTTTGACCAGTAATTGGTCCTTGAGGTGCTGAAACATCTCCATTGTTCACACTGGTGATATCATGTATGCTGGATCGCCTTCTATCTTTATTCATTGAGTTCAAACGAATGAAGTATTTTTGGGCATGGCTTGCTACTTGCGTAGGTGTTCTTGTCACCACAAAGTTCCTTGATATACTTCGCCAGTCACCTTTTCCATACTTTTCCAAGCCAAGAAGAAATAACCTGTTCAACCAATTTGAGAATTTTTTAAAAACAAAAATAAGTAGATGAAAGAAAGTTTAGCATATGCAAGCATGTCAAGATAACAAAAGAAAAAGTAACAATCAAATGAACAGCATAAAATTGTAGAATCCACATGCAACCACAGATCCTCAGTTTTAAATGTCCAACAGAAGAAAACTTCTAGAATGATCAAGGTCATTAATGTATGTTACATATGAAAATTCAAGATAGTATTATTCCCTATACATGGATTAAAATTAACATTTTGCTTTGACAATTATGACAGGTACTGGTACCATAAGCTGCATCTTTAGTAGCTCTATCGTTAATATGTTATTGACAGTAATGATTTTTCTCTATGATTAATATTACTGACAGTCATATTAGTATGGCTAAGCGTCAAACTGAAAGCCAGAAAGATTTCACAGGTACCATTAATTAATTACTAAAAATTGAAAAGTTCTATGCATAGATTGAAAATATCAAAAATAGGTAAGTGATACAAACCCAAATCTCAGAGTAGCAATTAACAAAGAAAGTTCAATAATGAAAAATAGTCTCTAACTCTATTATTTATGAAAAACAGGAATTACATTGGAATGAATATTCCTACTTCCCAGAGCTAAGCTCCTTTAGAGAACCCAAGCTCTCTGCTCATACCTTTTACTCTCTACTCAGCACCCATATAACAGATTTGCTCCACATGGTTTATAGTTTTCACATTCCTTGCCACATGGACATTCTCACTCTGCTCTTTTTATTCCATCTAACATAAGCCTGCAACACATTGGACTTGGGTAGCTGTTGTGAAAACAGCCTACTTGGATCCCACTTCACATTTTGGGTCCTAACACTAAGTGCAAGATAATAGACTTTATGCAAAGTTAATATTGTTCTTAGAAACAAAAAAGACAGAACTAATAAGTAACAAAAACACAAAACCTTATCCCACTAGGTGAGGTCAGCAGTCAACTACATCGATCACACAACGTCATTTAGTTAGGTTAAAACCAAAGCTTCATGCATATTATTTTTCATGAGATCTCCCTAATGACTTCCGCTAATGTCCTTGGTCTCCCTCTCCTCCGTTTAACAGGATTAAAAACCATGCGGTATACCCTTTTCATTTGTGTCTCTTGTGGCCTTGTTTGTACGTGTCCAAACCACTTCAATTGATTTTCTTTCATCTTTTTCTCAATTGGTGCTAAACCAATCTTTTCTTGTATATAATCATTTTTTATCTTGTCTTTTTTTGTGTGGGCACCCGTCCATCACAACTTTCTCATTTCTGCTATTGGCACCTTTTATCTCAGATCATCCCTTTAAAACCCAGTATTCCATACCATATATTATAACTAGACATGTAGTATAATAAAACTTGTCTTTACATTTGATAGGTACTTTGCAATCACAAATCACCGTCGATACTTTTCTCCATTTTAGCCATTCCTCTTGTATTTATGAGGATACAAACAAGGTCTCACATCGGTAAAATAAGAAGAGAAATAACAACTTATAAAGTACACACATACTTTAATGATTGAGAGACCTTTTGGGTGATAATCAAAAGTAAAACCGTCAGGACTTAGACTTCAAGTGAACAATATCTCATCATTGTAAAGTTATATGTGAAATACGTGACATCGTCATTAAGTTTTTCATCATTTTATATTATTGATCCCATATATTTAACCTTATAAACTGTGCTATTTAAACTAATAAGCAATCATTTCTATATATATCACAGGAGTAAGATCACCTATACCTTGGAAAGTAATTACTGCCAACCACCACTGCTGACAAATGTTCGTAATAATGGCTTAAAGAATAGGGTCCTTATTATTTAGAGGAAAAACAAGCATTGACATTGGCCAGTCACTGATTTCCCCGTAGTGCCAATCTAAAGACAAATAAAAATACATAATTCTTGGCAACTTATTCCCCATTTAGTTATAATGGAATCATGGAATATCACAGTTCATGGTAATAGAAAAACTGGGTTTGCAAAAATAATTTGAAATGTTATTCATAATTCCAAGAGGGATAAAGGAAATGGTGATTCAGGTGTCAATTAAGTAGAAAGCAATCAGAATTTTATCACTCTGATCTGATAAAAACTGGAAAAGAATTCCAGCACAAAACATCAGGAATTTATGTGATGGTTTAGAATCTTCCATGAGAATTTTGTATGGAGCTATAAAACATAATGAAGTACTGTATAGATGTGCTCAAGGAACTCTGCCAGCTTTATAGATTTCAAATAATGTGGAAAAATAGGGCTAAGTTGGAAGAGACTACTCTTGAGAGCAATTATAGGGATAGAATACAGAGTACATCATAAGTCTGAAAAAATATGACAATGCAAGGATATGTTCAAAACGAGAAGAGTAATTCTGGTTTCTTTGCAGGATGCAACCTTACAAGTAATATAAAGGGCAGATTGACAACACAACTTAGATTCCAAAGAAAGTCCAAAACTTCAGCATTCAGCATACATTAAATCTAACTAATCCCACACCTTGTACTCACCAAACTTCCTGGTTTGAGGAGTCCTAAGTTTGAAAAGTTAATATACTCAGACCTAGCAAAAAGATGGAGACTTCTGTGAAATAATATTTAGTTGCCAAGATGATAGAATGCTAAAATGGCACATGGCCTTTCTTAACAAGTAACATATAAAGCTAGTCAACAAACCAACTCCAACGTAATGTTTTTAACAACTAGTAACATGCAACTCATGCATGTAACTGATGTAAGGCTTCAAACATGCACCCAGTGAACGCAAAAAGATCTAGTTTTGAGGTAAAAGTTTGTTATATTTCTCTAGAAATTCAAGAACCAAATTATCAATAATATGATATTATTTCACTGCCAAACACAGGAGGACCATAATTGTAATTAATAGAGAGTTTAATGAAGACAGATTAGATGGAATGCAATACTAGCGTGGCCAGTACATTACTATTTAGTCTATAAAAGTGAAGGTCCAAAATTTAATCCATAGGGTCCAACAAAAGAACAATATCTGGTCAACCTCAAATGCAGAACAAATGTTATCTAGGGTTGTTGAAGGGATTATCTGGAATGTTCAATGCTGGGTTATGGCTATGAAATATGAATGGTAGGAAATAAGGTCCAATTACCGGTGGTCCAGCATAGATACGTGAAGATTAAGTAAATATTATAATAATTCACCGATTAAAATAAGTGGATAATGGTGTTCTAAACTTCGGAGGACCACCATCCTATAACAACCTTGAATAGTACAGTACTCAAATTTGTAACTCAATAGATCTAACTCTACTATTTCAATAAGTTATGAACCATAACAGGGAAATAAAGATTCGAGATAAAAATATTTAATTTACAAAATCAGAAAATAAGCCTCGAGTGCATTGCACTAATGAAAACAACAAAAGGTCTCATTTCCAAAAAATATTGCAAAATATACTCCCTATCATGATGGATTCATGGTTATTCCTATACAAGGAGTGACTTTAACTCTTTTAACTTTCTGTTATATAATTTTATTGATCGATACATTTATGATACAGCTCCAGTACTTGGAATAGGACTAAAATTACACAGGATTCTATCTTTTCTTCTTTATCCTTAAACCTATGCTACGTAGTATACAATTATATACTGTCAAGAGCAGGACTAAGGATGAATGTTGAGACAAGTTGCATGGATTGAGGACAAGTTACTATTATATAAAATTTTTCATATTTTTGTATCCATATGGCATCACACCTATATCAGATTCATAAGTTCTTTAACTTTCACCATTAAACTGTTATAGAACACAAGTCGTTATTAAAGCACAAGCTGTGTCCATGATATCAAAAAGTAAAGAAATACAAAGATAGAAAAGAAGAAAACAATGACAGGATACCCACAGCTTTTATCACCATCTGTGTTACATGGATACTGGAAGGATACATCATCATTGTGTTTCCATTAATAATCCAGTGTGCTTCTCTCATCAGTTATCAGACAACATTGAACTAGAAAAGATATAAACTCTAAACAAATGTAGGAAGAGTAACTAGGTTTTTTTTTCTCTGAAGAATGACCTTTCCAAAGAGAAGTCTCCTTATGTAATATTTTGTCTCAGGCAAGAGACCTATTAGTAAAAGTGCATTATACTTGAATATTTTCATGTCAAAGAAGTCCACATCTTCAAAAAAATTAATTAATGGTTAAGTGACCATTTCTTCTACAATGTATTCTTTCAGGTATCATCACACATACCATTTGAAAATGAGATACTAAAATTGCTCTGATGCAGCATTAATACAACCATAAATAGGTAAATCTTCAAAACATTAATATATATACCAAGCCATAGCAAAACAAAGAATTTGTCTTGCCCTTCCCCTATACAGAAATCTAATCTGAATACTGCTCATTACCACTTCTAGGTGCAGAAAGATACCATTCACACTGTGGTTAACAAAACAAAAAATATGGAGTTAATATACACTTTGCCCTTGAAAGTGGTAGCTTGTGTTGCTTTCTTTTTTTTGGAAGTGCATGCCTACACCAACTGGTCCTTCAAAGTTTCAATTTGCTAGCAAGTTTACCCAGTTATCAAATCACAAAGAATTTCATCCATATAAGGATTAATTTGTAAAGACATTGCTTCAAAACACCAAAGGGACACAAGTTGCCACTTCTCAGGATCAAATTAACTCAATAATATGCATTAAACCATCTCAGTTTTAAGATCCCACACTGTTACTTAAATTAAGTTAATCACCTGTTGATAGGACCACAACATTAATCTAGATCATAAATGTTAACAGGAAACTACAAGAAGAGCATTTTAACTTTCGAAATTCATAGGGCATTACAACAAAAGGGATAACAAGTATACTTCCTATCAGAAATTGCATCTTCTACGGTATGATTGAAATTGATATTTCTGGAAGGATCAAAACTAAAATAATGTTATAAACACAACCCACTGATGTAACCCAAACAGATGAATTTTGTCATTTAGGAAGGATAAGTATGGCTTAGTAAAATATTCTTGTAAAAAAGTTAGTACTAATAACAGTCAGTAAAACAGTTAGTACTATTGAAAATTAAAGTGACAAATATTAGAAGAAATATTTAGATAAGGCTCATAAGGATCCAAGAGTATACAAACAGATATGAATTCCAAGTTCCAACTACCTAAAAACAGTATATGGTTAAATAAACAAACTTGAGACAGAAACAAAATCGGACAATATCAAATTAAAAATAAATAACCTTCCTTGTGCTGTTTCCTATGCCATATATATAGGTTTTCTAAATGTTTAAGCAAAGATAAACTAACCTGTGTTCATCCTCTGTCCAAGCAATACCCTTTCGTCGTTCCTGATCAGATCTGGAAGCCTTAGTTCCATGATTAGATTCGTTGTTACAATTCCAAGAATGGCCTCCCTTCTTGCCAGCTCCTTCATCACCAGCATGGCTAGTTGAGCCCTCTGAAGAAGAATTATAAGATGGCAAAGGCACACAACCAGATTCAATCTGGTTAACATCTTCAACCAAGAGCTCATAGTGGTGTTTTATCTCTTCCAAGGTTTTCCCTTGTACATCAGCTGCAATCTTCTCCCATCGGTCCGAAGCATCCTCAGCATGAATTGCCAAGGCATTTTCAAATGCTTTATCTTGTTCTTTGCTCCACTCAGAGCTACTACCGACTTCATCCATAGTCATCTAGTCTTGTTTGAATCAACTTTGGGTATTTGTTACAGGAAGGAGAGGAGAGGATTCTATATAACAGTTCAACAATCTAGGTCAAATCCACATCTTAAATACCACAAACACTAAGGTTTGTTTCTTGGGAATTATGGATCTAAATTACTTCTATGATGAGTACCATAATATTAACTTAGATGGTGTGCTAAATTATTGGAGCAGATATGTTGGACTAAAGTCCAGTCCTGAAGGTAGAGCCAACAGAGGAAGAAAATGTCGGGAAGCAGAACAGAGTTCAATACCAATTAAATCACAAAACACTTGTAGAATTTCAATGGTGATTTTGCTTCAGAATTCAAAAACTGGACTCTTGTGAATAGCTTACCTATTGATGAATGAAAAGGCAACAAAGTACAGTTAGGACATGAGAAATATCTGACAATCATTAATACAAAGATGCAATACTTGCATTTTAAGGGAAGTGAAAATTTGGACTTTGATGTGAAGTTAGTCAATGAATGTAATTAGGGCTCAGGATTTCTAATATACGAAAGAGACATTTCATAAACAAACAAAGTAGAAAAACCGAGAAGACTATAATGGATAACGAGACCATTCAGATTGCTATATTCCATACTTTGATATAATAATAAAAAATCCAAATTATACATAGCTCTACTGATAAGAGTAGTTTTAACAGCACAGGACCACAAAAATATATCTTTCCACCACCATAACTAAAACCTATAACTCTTGTAAATCACAATTTTACTGAACACATTCAACACCCTCATTTTGTTTTGAATGTTTTCTAGTCTTGCCACATCACTCAAAGTTCAAAGACTTCAATCCCCAAGACCAGAAAAAATAAACAAAGCCTCAATGCCCAGCTTGCATCACTAAGACTTCTAAGATTGAAGTTTCTGAAAGACAAATAGGTTAAAACAATATTATAGTGATTATAAAATGACTTTAAGGTCTTTATTTCCAGTTTGGGCCCAATAAAACCATACAAGTCTGCACAACATGTCCAATCTCAACAGTTTGATCAAAAACCTTAGCCAGGACCCCAGCTCAACATACCTCATAATAGTAAAATGAACTGTAGATTCCCTTCAGTTGGTGTATGGCTATGCTTTCTATCACAGCTAAAAGTGATCAGTAAGTAATTCCCTTAAAAAAAACATAGGATGCCAAAGCCACAACCAGCACTCCCAAGCATATGACACCCTAACTAACCAACATAAATGTGTCTTTCACACCATTTAACTCATTCAATTCACAGTCTAGTAAAAACCTATTTCTGACAGTGAAAAGATGTACTTATGTGTCCCTTATTTCTTCAAAGTTCGGGTGAAAAAAAAATCCTACAAATAAATTTCAAAAACATTTCATTTTTATTTTTGAATTATTTTTAGCCTAATTGAAAAAATAAATTGAAATTAATAATTTACCTAATATAGGCAAATAAAGAGAATCTCGATATTAAGAAAAGAAAAAAAGGTAAAAGCAGAAAACAAAGATTTAAGAAAAAAAAGCCCTAACTGGGTAAGAATTTATTAAGGGCAGAACTAGGAAATCATAAATGACATTGATGGTTATCCTGAGATACCACAAAGAGTCGCAAGATGGGTCACAATTGGTCCCATCACAACAACAGCTTTGCCACAAATAGGACAGGTGGGATTGAAAAAGCCAGAACCCAAGTTGCAAACCACCGGAATCTGCAGGACGCATTAATATCTGATTGATGATACAACATGAAGAGAGAGAGCGAAAAGATTGAGGAATAAACCAAAAGGAAAGTTAGAGAGAGAAAAAGATTGAATTTTTTTTAACCCCTTTTGCTTTAAATTATTTTCCACATCCCAACAAATTGTAAAATAGAAAGTGGTATCAACTATCAAGTGTAGCAGAATATCAGGTAACATAATAATAATCATAACATATGATAGGAGCATAAAAGCAGAAAAAGATTTAAATTTATTGTTATAAATTATGGGAGTTTGTGAAAATATTCATTACCTTAATCTTCCTTCCTCAGGACTTGCTTCAATCTTTTTTTGGCAGCAAACTTCCTTCAGCTCTCAGAGACTGTTGCACAGAGAAGAGTAAAATAAAAAATAAAAAAAGCTGCGTGGTATATATAGGTACTGAACTAGATCAGTGACATGCTTCTCTCTCATGATCTGATCCCTTTTTTTGGAGCTATATAAATTCTTTCTTTCGTTGAATCTTATCAGAACAGTGAACTCATACATTCCTAATAAAGTATTAATAAATGTGTGATGGGGTTAAGAAAATTAATCATGAAGGACTGAATGTTATCTTTAGAATTGTGTACATTGGATAATTATTATTAATGAAAGGATGTTACCTTTTTTGGCTGTTTTGGATAAAGTCCGCGTTACACACCCAATGAATCCAGCCAAGTTGCAACAACACCTTGTGGTGAATCAATCATTGCCTACCACATCAGATGTAAGTCAAATTTTGCCGGCTATGACGAAAGGACGGAGAGACTGCACATGGTATGGGACATCAATTATTATGTCTATTTACATGCAAGCATGCTTCTAATATTTTCATAATAAATAAAACTGCTTCGAATATTTCCATTTCAAAAACAACCTAGTAGTAGTTACAGACACGTATTTTTATCTTTTTTTTTTCCTATTTATCATTTAAATTATAGCTTAAAAATATGAATACTTCTAAATAATATATATGCGAATAATTTATATAGATACTTCAAATACATAAACGTTATATTCCTTCCGTCACGATGTCTGCAATTTTAATATTTTAAGGGTTTTTTTTTATGAAATGATTGATGTATATGATTTTTAACAGAATATTATTAGATACATAATATTTTTTTCAACAACTTATTGTATTTTAAATTTCACAAAATACTCATTTAATTTTTTTATTTAATCCCTATTTGTTTCCGCTGATTTGCAACGAAAGAAAGGCGAAGAAAAGCGAGAGAACGTCCTCGCGAAACTGTGAAGAAAAGTGATAAAAGCCACGTAAGAAATAAGAAAACCCAATAATACCCCTGTCCCAAAGGCTGAAAAGAGATGAAGCATGCATGACACATAATCGATTATGGGCTAGCATAATCGATTATGATTATGCTGAGGCAAATATGCGAACTCAGAACGGGCCGTTCCACTTTGGGAACGGGCCGTTTCACACATGGTCGTTGTGAGTTAATTTGTAATCCCAAAACGGGCCGTTCTAGTTTGAGAACAGGCCGTTCTGGATATGAAATTTTTAAATATGTTTTTATTTAGTTGCAACATTTTCTATTTCTATTATTTTATGTCATATTTAATTATTCTTTACTTAATTGATGACTGAATTGTATTTTCTGTTTCATTTTACAAATATGTTATTACCCATCTACTTTGTAATGTTAAAAATTTCTTAATTTTTTAATTGGTAAAAATTAACTTGTACAATTAACAAATGTATCTTCAGTTCATTCTAATTTATGTCAATGATTTATTAATTTTTTTAATTTATTAATTAACTTTCAAAAAATTTATTGTACATTTTTTTTATATTAAGAAAATTTTATTATTTAAATATTGACATCAAAAAGTGGAAATATAAAAAAAATAAAGTAATACATGTTTATAAAATTAAAATAATAACACTTTCATAAACATTAATAAAATAATGTTAGAAAATATAATTATCATAATATATTTTGTTATTATTATTTATTATTATAAATATTATTATTATTATCATTATTATTAATATTATTATTATTTATTATAATTAGTATCATTATTATTTATTATGATTCTTATTATTTTTCTAATATTTATTATTATTCTTATCATTATTTATTATTTTTTTAATAAATTATACCTATTAATATAATTTTATTGTAATTATTATTATTTACAATAAATAATATTATACTCATTTTTAATCCAAGGGTAAAAGTGTAAATTACATATTCATCTATTAAATTTTTAATTTTTTATCTATCATTAAATTTAAAGCAAATATTTAAATTAAATTATTTTTAAATTGATTTTATATTTATTTTTTTAGTTAAAATTTTTATATTTATCTTTTAATTATAATAATTATAAACTTTTTTTTAACCTAAGGGCAAAATAGTAATCTTACAAAATCATCTTAAAAAATTTATTTTTATCTATCACATCAATCAATTCACTCACAAACTTTCACAAACTTTCTTTACATTTTCCACTCACTTTCCCTTAATCCAAACAACCTCACTTTCCCTTCAAATCCCTCCTTTTCCACTCCCCATTTTCCATCCTCAAATCCAAACAAAGCCTTAGAGAAAAAAATTGCATCTAATCTTCCCGTAAATATTAATATGTTATTAAAATCATCGAAAATTAACACAAAAGATTTAAAATTTTATAAGAGTTTGTTTTTCTTATAGCCTGATTTTGATCTTTTTTAAAATTATTAAAATTTTACTTTAATGAACATACTCATTAAAAGAGTTACAGTTTTTGGTGCATCGAAATTCCTTATCTTATTACTCGTAATATATATGTGTATCATTCCTTATCTTATGTGTATATCATTTCTTGTGTGTGTATCATTCCTTGTGTGTGTGTGTGTGGCGTGTATCATTGTGTGTGTGTCTTATGTGTATCATTCCTTGTGTGTGTAGTGTTTATCATTTCGTGTGTGTGTGTATCTTATGTGTATCATTCCTTGTGTGTGTGTGTGTTGTGTATCATTCCGTGTGTGTGTGTGTCATTCCTTTTGTGTGTGTGTGTTGTGTATCATTTCGTGTGCGTGTGTGTGTGTCTTATGTGTATCATTCCGCGCGCGTGTGTGCAGGGACGGAGCCAGGATTTCAATACTGGGGGGCCGAGAATAAATAATATATAATTTATAATAAATGAAAATTAAAGTCCAAAAGTGATACCACATAGCAGGCCGTACCAGAAGTCCAAAAGTTGAATAAAAAAATAAATTTGGGTTATTCATTTAATTATACATATGAGTTTATATTAAAAATAGGGGGTGCCATATAGTAATATATATGTATATAAAAAAAATTAAAATTGTTGGGGGGGCCGTGGCACCCGTAGGTCCCCCCTTGGCTCCGTCCTTGCGTGTGTGTGTTGTGTATCATTCCGTGTGTGTGTTTCAATAACTCGTATTTTGCATCAAATTTCAACAATTCAATCTTTCAGGTTAAAGTTCTCAATGTATAATTAAAGTTTGCAAATTTAAAAACAATTGAAAAATATTTAATACTTTATTTCATTAATTCAAATTAGTGAATAATTATAAAAATATTTTATATGTTGATTTGAATTATTGAAATGAAATATCAAACAAATTTTAAATTTCTTAAAAATTTGCAACTTAATTTATACATTAAAAAATAAGAACCTTTATTAAAATTTAACGTAAAATATGAGTTATTGATATAAGTAAACTTATCCTTAAAGTAAATGAATCCCTTATATATATAGAAAGAGATAGTTAGAGAGAGAGAAAGAGAGAATGGATGTATTATATATGTATGTTACTAAAGTAAACAAAAAAAAAATTGAAGAACACTAATCTTAACATTCCCATCCACTGTTGGACCGAGAATCTTGGGGTAAAGCCGTAGAGCAAAATAGAAAAGGTGATTTGGGCTAAGAGAATAAGTTTTTATGCTATTTTTGTTAGGACAAGTCCCTTGTTACATGCAAAGCCCATCCAATATATTATTAGATCTAAAATAAATTTTAAAGTAAGATTTTTTAAAGTTAATTATAATATTTTATAAAAAAATAAAAAATATTTTAGAAATGTATCTTTACAAAAATATTTATATTTGCATATCTTTTAGACATTAACTTTTCAAATAAATTTTTAAAAATGTAAAAAATGACTTTAAAATTATGAAACCGTAAAAAATTTATATAAATATTTATATTAAATATTATTTTTGAAGGAGACTTAAAATGAGAATTTTATTACTCTCACCTTTGTGTCGGTCCTAATTCCATGGATTCAAGATAGTATTTGATTTTAGGTCACTATGCAAACTATACAAGTTCATAGAAAGAGATAAAAAAAAATATAAAAAAATCTCTTTGAATCTTTTTTAGGTGTGTAAGTAAATGTTTATTTATTTAAGCAAGGTGTAAATAGAATGTGGTAATTAATAAAAAAATATAGAAAAATTATATGATATCCACACAAATTTGATTAGTTTTGAAATTATCAATTTTTAAGTTAATAATAATTACTTTTTATTTATTTTACTTTTTTCATGTTATAGTTTTACACTTGTATTAGGTAGTTGACTAGAAGCATTATGAACATTTAAAACTAGTGAACAAATAAAATAGAAGTTAAACTTTCCACCTTTTGTTGGATCAAATTAATATTACAAACATTTTTTTACTTCATATTTCATAGTTCTAAAATTGTATTTCTACATTTCTATTGAATAACTAATATGCACAAGAAAATGATTAAAATGTAAAGAGAAAAGTCATATGAAAGTGAAGTGTACTACCCACATCGGTACTAAGGGCCTACCTTGGCACCAAAGAAGTTGGACCACATCGGCTTATCATGTCGGACCACTCCCTAACTGATAAGATAATCTGATAAGTCCGCAATCTTATAATATCATAACCAACCCCACTCTCACTCAAGGGTCAAAACGGGCCAGCCCTCCCACCTTGACCCACTTTAAAAACGAGCCAACCCAACCCAATCCACTTTTGATTTTTTAAAAAAGAAAATGGCCCGGCCCGGCCCACCACGGGTTGGTGGGTTATACGGGCCAACCCACCAGCCCACCAAAAATTAAAAAAATTATCAACAAAATTCAAAATTTTAAATTAATTATAAATTAACATAATAGTCATAAAATTAGCATCATTAATAGCCATAAATCATAACTCATCATACAAAATTAAATACAAATCATGATAAAATTCCAAAATAAAAATTTTCAATATCCCATCATACAAAATTAACAACAAATCATACTTAAATTTTTATTGCAAAAAAAAGTTGGTGGGCTGGTGGGCTGCCCGGCCCACCACGGGTTCGGCCCGGGTGGACCGGGTTGAGGTATACCCACTTATTATAAAATTTCTAATTTTTTTTTTGCCCGGCCCGGCCCGTTTTCAAGGTGGCCCGGGTTGGCCCACGGGCCACGACCCATTTTGACAGCTCTAGGAAAAACCCTAATTCATATCGAGGTACGTGCACTATATATATGAGACTTCTACACTATCAAATACTAACTTAAACATTGGAGTCTCTTTTGCAGGTATCCACCTCATTCAAGACTGACAACCTCGCCAAGTAGAAGAGACTCGCCGATCTTACCTGTAAGTCGTCTCTACACCGATCTCAAGTAAGAACATGAAACATATAACCTAATAACAAAAAAAACTATACCAAAACACCTTAATTTATGAGAGTACCGTAGTAACATCTAAAAATATATACAGTAATCAAATTAAAAAAAATAGCACGTGACAATTATTTTCTAACCATTTTTTACAAAATATTAAAAAAAATAACGATGTAACTTAAACACTGAATGTTCATTCAGTGGTCATGTTCAGAACCCGTTCAAATCCACTCAAAACCACTCCCTACTTGTCAAACCCCAAAACTAACTAACTAATAACTTTCACGGTTCAAAATAAATGTTAGAACGGAGATTTACATATGATTAAGAATGTATTCTTATTTTTTATTTTACATAAACAACTGTTTGGTGTAGAGATTACAAATTTAGGAGATTTTTTGTATAAGAAAACTGTAATTCAAATAACTTATTTTGTCCAAAACATATTGTTTAGTCGAAATAGGCATTTTGGTTAGAAAATAAATTATGACTCCATCACCTACTGTGTCTAGTTTTCTTTGCAGTGGGTTTGTAGGGTCCATAACTCTAATGCTAAAACCAGTTCCTCATAAACTTTTATTTATTTTAAAAGAGTCACATCATGACATGGGTTACATTACTACTTTACTACTATATAAAAATAATTATAATAGGGAAAAATAATAATAAATGTTAAGTGTGAAGATTTATTTTCAAGATAAAATTATTTAGTTTGCGAAATTGGGTGATTTTATTGTTTTGTAGCTTTTATCATTTAAAAAAAAAAAAAGCAGTGTTTCAAACATTTTTTCTCTTATAAAAATAAGTATTTTTTTTATTTGGTTAAAAAATTCCTTTCAGTTTTTGTATTTTTTTTAAGTGTGTCATCACTTAATCTCATAATAGTCATTTATAATCCACTAATAATAAGTTGTTTAGAGTAAAATTAAACTCAATTTCTTGAATTTTGTAGATAAGAAAATACAATTAAAAGAAAAAATCTTAAGATTTTAGTAAATAAATACTTCATATTAATAAAAAAATATTATCAAAAAAATAGCCCATTCCAATAATTAAAAATATATAGGTAAAGAAGAAGAGAAGAAATAAGAAAATTGCAATACACTGCGTTATTATTATTCTTAGAATAAAAAATGTAAGAAAGGATTAATAAAAATCTTACTCAAACTAAAATATAAATAAAAGGCTTAAAAATAATGAAAGTAAAAATGAAATGATATCATAATTCCAAGTATGATGTCACCATGACTACCACATTAAATATAATAATGCATAATAAAATAGTAAATTAGTAAAGGAAAATAATGAAATTATACTAATAGTAAATTAATAATATAATTTTACATAATATTAAAAAATATTTAATACTTGAGCAGGAAAATATAATAATTGTGTGAGTGAAAATTTTGAGGCGTGGATGAACCATTTTCCTCCTTATCGCCTGGACCAACCAAAATCTCTCTGCTTTTGTGTCGACGAAGGTATGTACTTACCAGTGCGATTCATTTTCGACTTTTCGTGCTGAGTTTCGAATTCGATTATTTCTTGCTTCTAAGGATTTACTTAACAATACTGTGATTGCATTTTGAGCCTTCGTTATTCAATTTTGATTGTTTGTATGATTGCACCTTTTCATATTTATGATTCACAACAGAGGGATTGAGTTCACTTGAAAAAAATATCTAATGGGTGCTTTTAGGTTTCATTTCCAGCGTTAAATTCCCTGTCTGGTTGTTACGCATCTTTTTGCAATGTGTGATTGTGGTGTTATCTTATGTTTAACACTCCTTGATGCTTGTTTTTATTTTTGATCATTTTAATTAATTCTATTAATTCTGCAGATTATTGTCCAGGATGGTGTATGCAGAGACCACAGATATGATAAATTGAATCATAAACTAGGATTGAATTTCGCTTAATGTAGTGTTATTTTATTTTACATGAAAGGCATCCAAGTTGGTCTTTTATGATTTGAGTTAGTAGCTTAGTAAGTTGTTATTGGTTGAAATTGAACTATGCTGTGTTATGTGAAAGAGGGAGCTTGGGACTTAGGACTTGGGAAAGGGTTTTACCAAGCTTTTGATTTTTATGGAGGGAGCTTTAAAACCTCTCTTCTTAGTAATGTGAGATGTTGCATTAGACATCATTTCCCCCAGCATTTTCTTATTAATGATCAATCAAGAGGAAAGGATGAGGGTTATAAGTTTTTACCTGGATCCCACTTTTATAAAAGCACTCAACTGTGTGAGAGTATTCTGAGGCATGAGCATCTGATCCAATCTACCATCCTTAGAAATGGCTAACATTGCTAAAGTAAACCAGTTTTGTTTAAAGCAGAATCAGGACTTTAGATAAACTTTTCCATAGGTACTTTTAAGAGAAAAATATAGGAAGGAAAATCAAAATAAGTTTCTCCACAAGTTAAAACTAGCTCATGTATAAGTTAAATATAAGATTTTGGAGAAATTAATTGGAGAAAATTTCTAAATATTAGTTTATGCATAAACTAATTTTAGCTCATGGAGAAGTTTAAAACATTTTTACGCTAGTGCCTATGTTGACAACTTGTTATTAGAAAAAACAGGCTTCATTTTTATAAAGCTAGCCTCTATTGAATGAACAGTACCTGTTGAATCGGAGGAGTTAAAACAGAAAAAAGCAACGAAATTTCTGTTTTAGAACCATATATGTTACGTAAAATTTTTGCTAGATTGCAGTAACTTCTTTTATGTTAAATATAAACCAAAGTCTTGGTATTCTTGCCTTGTTGGGATGACAAAAACAGCATAAATATGCAAACTTTAGAAACTGTTTGCTTGATTTATGTCAGGCTGCTTAGAAGATTCAACAAAAACAAGTCAATTTACATCTTAACAGAAGTATAGACTGAATGCTTGTTGCTGAGTTTACCAATGAGATGTAGTTGAAGGTGGTGTCACGACTCACCACCGTAGTTGTAATGACTTCAGAACCAGAAACTACAGTATTGTTATGAAACTTAGCTTTCTACTGGAGTTGATGATTGCAGATATTAAACTGTAGGATATTTTTTTGCAGCACACTGTCCCAATGGTTGGATCAAAATATTTTGGTTATAACATTCTATGCATGGTTGACACTGTCCATATAAGTTCACACTCATATCAGCCATGCTCGTAACTGAAGAGATTAAATTCCATGGTTGGGGTGAACTTATAAAAACACAATGTGCAATGATGTTTTTCTTCAGTACCATGTCTTTCATAATCCAATATGTCACACTATTTTTGATGTTCTAAGTTGTTGGATTTTATAAAACACAAAATTATTATTTTCATGATTATTAACTTCTTTACATTTGATATTGTAATGACTAATTAAAAATATGTACCTTTTAGTATTTTCATCAAATAAAAACACTTGTGTGAATGCATCCAAACACACCTATCAACATGAACAAAACATGTTGAGAAGTTGCTTTTGACATCAGTACTTTTATGATAAGCACTTTTCCTATAAGCACTTAATTGAAACAATTCATTCAAAACAGGACCAAAGTAATTTTAGTGTTGCTTGCTGCTTCTGCTCTGCACAAAATTAACATAGGAGCAAAAGCAAACCAAACATGTTGATCTCACTCTTTGTAATAACTGCAATAAACACCACCTCTGCTAGTTCCACTCAAATAAATACCTTGTACAACTCATTTATTATTCAGAAATCTTTATTCAGGTAAATTTGTCATGGGAAACAAATTTGTGGTGGGAAACAAATTGGGGAAGCAAGAAAAGGATGACAAAATATTACTCAAGATTGTACCTCCAGTGGACCAGACATACGCCAAATGGCTTGCCAAAGACCTTGCAAGAATTCACCACTTTACTCCAAAACGTACTCGTGCAGTGGAGCCGCCAGAGCATTACGTAGAATATATGAAGTTGAATGGATGGTTGGATGTGGATTTGGATGATCCTGATCTTGCTCATTTGTTCAAGTAGATAATTTCTATGCGCCATATAGACTATTAGTATGACATTGTAGCTGCATTATGATTACATTAAATTGTTCAGAGAGTTCCCTAGTGTTGATCACCATTCACCAGTGGGTACAGAAACGTGCATATGTAATGCAATGTATTTTTTTTGTTTAATTACGTTTTTAGTGTGCTGGCATGAGAAAATCGCATATAAATTACGCCAAATAAAAATACCTTCAAAACAGATAATGGCCTATGATATGTCACAGTAGGACATTTATCAACATTAGTAGTGTAACGTTATCTACATTCTCCGCGACCGAGTTCGTAACTATTGATGAAAAAAGGAATAATTTTTTTTATAGGTTAAAATTAGTTAATATATAAATTAAAAATAAGATTTTAAAGAAATTAATAAGAGAGGACTTTTACAAATTAAATAAAGAAAACGTTGAATAAACTTTTTGTAATCAACTAAAGTTTCAAAAGTAAATAAAATCAAATAAAATTTTCATTTAATTGATTAAATAAAAACTTTTAACGACTTCAATATAGAAAGCACAATTTTAATCGATTGTGAGTAATATGTTAAATGTTTAATATTTATTTTTGTGTTGGTTTCGAAGAAATAAAAAAGATGTGAAATTTGTACCTTTTTTAAATTTTTTTAGCGGATAATTTCTCTTCCAAACAACTTTCAATTTTTGTTTCTTACTCATTTCACACTTTACTTCCGTATTTCTTCCATGTCTTTGCTGTATCAAACAAGATGGAAAGAAAGATATTCTTTTTAAGTTAAATACTATGTTAGTTTCTATAATTTTATTTATTTTATCTTTTATTTTATATAATTTAAAATAAATATTTTTTAGTCATTATATTTATCTCTTTAATTTTTTTTTTATAGATTTTATAGTTTAAGATGAATATTCTTTTGTAAGATTTTTCTTTTATATTAAGGTGATGTGACAAAGACTAAAAAGTACAGAATCAGACGTATAAAGAATCAAAGAATCACAAAATTGTATATATAAGGATTAAAAATGATTAAAAAAGATAAATATATTAATTAAAAAGATTTTTTTTAAAATTATAAAGATTAAAAGGTAAAGTAAATAAAATTATAAAATTTAAAAAATATTTAAATTTTTTTATAAACCTTTTTATATATTGTTATATATTTATTGAAAAGGTATATTAATTTAAAAAAGAACATAAAATTAAAGTATATATAATTTGATTTGGTTTTATTGAAAGCACACTAGATCTGTTTTTTTTGTTTTTTATAAAACCCATACTTGTCAAAATCAGTTGCAGGTAACATTGAATTAGTATAATCTTGATGGGATGAATCACGAATCGAATCGTATCAATCACAGTAAAATTGAGTGTAAAATTCTGGTAAGGCACGCAACCTTACTTTCATTTAATTTGGCTGCAAATTGATGCATGTTATTTTATCTTGAGGCTCTCTTTATTCTTCGGTTCCCAAAGTCAAAACAAACAGTTTCTGATCTCTGCACTTCAATCCAATAGATCAACATGGCTTCAAAAACCGGTAAACGATTCACTATTTCTCTTTTTTTGTTTTATTCAATATTTTGTATACAAATTGAATTCATATTTGAAACCCAAAACATTAACGTGTTCGCAGGTGCAATTATCGTGGTCATGGGTGTCAGCGGGGCTGGAAAATCGTAAGTGTCCAACTCCAATCCATCTAATGAAACAAACCTTTCATAAAAATTAGATAACCACTTCATTTCATTTTGTTGTTATTATTATGTTATTTTTCTGGTTTGGACTAATGTTTTTATTTTTTTTTCTTGAACTGTTGTTGATTGAAAATTGATGATCCTTTCAGTCTTTCACTCAGTGTGTGCTTCTTCCTTCTCCTTTGTTAGAGTTGAGTGTAAATTTTAACATTAGCAAACTAGAGGGGTGGAAAGTGAATGAAACTAACTAGATGGAACCCTCAGACAATGGATTTGATAATAGGATTGAGAATGTGAAAAATGTCGTAATACACTCTTTGATATTCTTTTGAATTTTTTTTCATTGATTAAAAATCATTAAATTAAGTCTTCACCTTATCTAATGATCAATTTCTATCATGAAGTAAATTGTTTACACTCGTCTTGAATTTATATGATAGGAACAATTTAAATATATATAAGTAAATAAATGTTAAAGATATTGTCTCTGACATTTTCTTTATTACAAGTTGAAATTTATTGAGAATCATAAATTTTGTGAGACTCTCACTTTAAGCTAAAATTTATGATTTTAAATCAATAATAAATAGTACATTAGAGTTAGAGAAAATGTGAGGAATATTTCCATTCACATGTATCTAAACACTGGGTACCAGGGACACAACAAGCCATTTATTTTTCGAGGGGACTAAATATAAAGATGCAAAAATATAATAAAAAATTGAAATGTTAAATTCAACTAAAGAACTAAAAAAGATGTCATAATGTATGTGTAAAGGATTGGTCTCGTGAATACTTGTGTAAAATAAAAAAGTGAAGTCACATCGACCACCGAATTCAATTAAAGTACTTTGTAGTCTCAACTAACTTAACTCTATGATAGATATACCTTCCTTTTCTCACTTTATACTTTTTGTCGTGCATAAGGAGTTATCACATACATATATACATGTCTTCATGTTAGTGAGATATTGTTCACTTTGGGCTCATGTCCTCACGGATTTGCTTTTAGACATCACCCAAAAGACCTCTCAATCAATGAAGACAAGTGTGTATATAAACTCGTGTCCATCCTCTTGTTTGAACGATGTGGGACTTTGCTTGCATCCCAACAATCCTCCCCTCAAACAAAGGACCACAGTTTAACTCATCCCCTGCAGCGAAAATTACGAGTATTATCCGATGGTGGCCTCACAGAGCTCACTCACGCTCAGAGTGCTTGCACCGCCGCTCTGTCATGACCTCTTTCATGACAGCGGGACACGCCTCCTAACTCTCCATGTTACCAGGAAGTCTCTCTTCCACATGGATCTACTGTTAGGAAGACTTATATACACATGTCTCTATTGGTTTAGAGGCCTTTTGGGTGATGTCCAAAAACAAATCCGTGAGAACTTAGACTCAAAGCAGACAATATCTCACAAATGTGGAGACATGTGTATATGTGTGGTAACTCCCGGTGCTCAACGATTTTACTTACCTTACAAGAGTTAAATCTCATTTTTGTATAAACATTAACTGACATATATATAGAAGGGTTAGTCTCTTCAATTTCATTTCAAATCAAGTAGTATCTTTTTTAAATAATGGAAAAGTGACTATAACTTTATAGTTATTTTTTCAACTTCTGCTAGAGCCTTAACTATCCCATTCTTATACTACCGTCTGCCCTGCAAGGGACAGTAGCAGACACTTTCAGTGGCAGACATTTAACCATTTTTTGAAGTTGTTGAATCATGAATCACACTGATTGCTTAACATGTTTTTGTTGCAAAACTTATATATTGAATTTGTTCAACAGCACAATAGGTCGGAGGCTGGAAAAAGAGATGAAATATAAGTACCTTGATGCAGATGATTTTCACTCTGAATCAAACAAAGGTGAGTATATCACCAGTATACACAATTGCACTCGATATTTGGCTGATAAAATAAATAGAACTTGTTTGAATACAAACTTAGAAGTATTTCTAGTTTTGAAAGTTTTTTTTACTGAAAATAGTTTTTTATTTTTAATAAAAAACTCTTAAAAACACTTTTAACTTCTATGAAACAGATTCATAGGCATATGGATTAGCCCATGATGAAGGACTAGTTTCTATCAGTTTCCTTCATTTTTTTTCCTTTTACTTTGTTTTCAATTTTACCACATATCTTCCAATACAACAGAAAAGATGCGTATGGGAACCCCACTTACAGATGAAGACCGAAAGCCATGGCTTGAATCACTACGTGATACCATAAAAGAATACTTAAATAACAAAAAGGGTCTGATTCTTGGTTGTTCTGCTTTGAAGATTGAATATAGAGAAATGCTTAGATCAGGTGACCCTGGTTATAAATTGGGGAGTTATGCAAGTGCTGTTAGTTTTGTTCTGTTGGATGCTCGTGCTGAGTGTTCGTGTGAATAAGAGAGCGGCAGAAGGAAAACATTATATGCCTGCATCTCTTCTGCAATCTCAGTTAGATTTGCTTAAGATTGATGACGCTGAAGGAGTGCTAAGAGTTGATGCTACTTTGAGACCCCAAGCCATTGTCACCACCATTCTGAACATGCACCAGTTTCAGGGCTATTTATAATCATGATTTTGTTGATCATTAGTAAATTGGGATCATTGCTTCAGGTTTCAGATATTGTTGTACAAGTAAGAGGAAGACTATGAATATGCAAAGAGGGGAAGAAAATGGAGCAGAACATGATATACAAAAGATCAAAACATAAACATACTGTGAATATGAATTTTTATCATTCCTTGGATTGATTAATGTCATTCTATTTCTTTTTCACCATAATTTGTATATATAGAAAGATGCAAAGTTAAATTGGCCATTGATTTTCTAACTGATTTTTTTTCCTTTTATAATTATATAATTAAACTTTATGGACGCAAATATTGTACTCATATTAAGTTGCTACATGATAGATAGTGTCTTGCCCAAACTAGAACTCCATATCATTTGAATCATGACTTAATTTCTTCCGATCCTCAAGTTGATTTGTTTTCGTAAAATTCATAAATTTTGAAGTACATAACTTAACCTGCAATTGACATTCAAATTGTACAAATTCTTGGATTTTTTCTCTATTATTTTTCAATAAAAAAAATGAGGTTGCAACCCTTTCATACAAGAATTTTCTGCAAAATATTAAATCTGGTGGCTACAATTTATAGCATTATCTCATTAAACATCATTGAACAAAGTTGGAAATCAGGTTCACAAAAGCATTATTTAGAATTAGCAAAAGTGTTACGCACTTCATATCTCTATTTATTTCTCATAAAATATAAAATAAAAATTTGGAAATAATTATTTATCGACTATAGTAAAAAAAAAAAAAAAAAGTCTTACACTGGGATAAAAAATAAAAGATGTGAAGAGAAAGAGTGAAAAATAGACAATTGTGTAAGTAATAAAAAAATTTCATTTGTCATAGAAATTTTGTTTGCAGCTATTTAATGAAGTTAAAAAACTAAAAGATGAAAATAAAAGTTTAGATAAAAATAAATGAATTTACTTTTTACAGAAGTTTTGAAGGATAAAAGAGTCTCATAAAAAATGGAGAACAAATATTCATTTCGTTGTTTTTTTTTTTTTTTGGGTTTCTCTCTACTCCTTTTCATAGCCTAAAAACCATCCCAATCTATTATCAAAATTATTTTAACCGATTCCGGTCATCTATTTCTCAACAGGTACTAAAACAATATCGCCCAGTCAAGGAATGTATACCTTTAAATATATTTTCAGCAAAACAAAGCAACCACGGCGTCACGAACAAAATAATCAATAAAAAATTTCAATTGAGCAAGTCATGACACTTATCTCAAATCTAGCAGAAATCGTAAACCACAACTAATCAGTTAAATTTGAATGAATGTTCCTCCTAGAGGTACTTAAATTGAGCTTGGCATTGCAATTTGCATGTGATTCCTCGGCAGCACTAGTCCTCTTTTGGGGGAGGGGAGAAGTGAAGAACGTACTTTTCCTTTTTGTGACCCCAGCAAAGCCTTACTTTTTTGCCTTGGCAAATCTGAGGCAACGGTATTTTTCACCACTTACTGTAATTTCAAGGGCTCCATCTTGGTTATCTTGATTTGACGCAGTTCCCATTAAGACACTTTTCTCTTTCTCAAGATTGTCTCTCTCCATCTTCAGCCTTGCTTCTTGACGAGCAATCTCAGCCTGTAACATTCAAAAATTGAGGGCAATAAAGATGATTGTTTTCTCTTTAATAGCAGGATCATGAAAGGAAATATTTGTTTGATAAACGGAAATGTTGTTAGAATGCTCAGTCAATTTCAATCTTCTCTCTTTCTTTCCCAAATGCAACAATATGTATGCTTCCCGAGTAATATGGCACAAATCTTTACAAAACATGAAAACCAGGCTCCTAGGAACGTGTTCGAAGCATTTTATTACCCATTAAGCAAAATATAATGCTATAGCCTCAGGAAGAAACATTCTACAGAAAATCCCAAAGGCGGATTTGAAGGGCAAAGGAATTTCATCTTCAGATCTAATATTAACTATTAAGGGCATAAATTCTTGCAAGCAATTATTTTTGGTACATTTGTTATCTCTAGCTTCAAATTTCAGGGCATTTTATTTATACAGATCTGTTCCACAACCATTAGTTGAGCAATCACCTATGAAGGGGTTTATCCTGCATCAAACACTTCAGTTCTATTGGATAAACTTCTCAATAAAAGCTTATACGAGAATAAAATTATAAAGTAAAATGAAGTAAGTTTCTTCCATAAGTTAAAAAATCTGTAAGCTCTTTTATTTAGCTCTTCCAAAAGCTGATTTTTAACTTATACATAAGCTGATTTTCACTTATGGAAAGAAGTATAATCCATTTACATTCTTATTTTTCTCTATTATAGGTACTTATTGAGTTTACCTAAACAGAAACTTAGTACTCAAATTTGGGAGCTAGAAAACTTCATTTGTTCAGATTTTGATAGTTAAAGAGTCCTTTCTCAGTATACTTTGTGCTTAAAAGCCACTTTGCTTTCTTTTTTCATTTTCAGAAACAGTTCACTAAAACTGCATAAATATCAATATATTTGGTACCAAAAACTCAAATTAGTCTACCTCAGATTGTCATAATTAAGAATCACTTCTTATAATGCCAAGTGGCTAAAAGTCATTTTCATTTGTTTCTTCAATTTTAGAAGCAGTTCACTAAAATTGCATCAATATCTCTCGGATCATCAACTACCTCAAAAATTGATCCACTGCATTTCAGTTTGTCAATTATTCAGCTAAAGAAGAAAATTAGCATTTTTCTAGGATAAAGCCATCTAATCAATCAAGGCCAGCAGGGTAAGATATAATACTCAACAGTGTATTGCAGGCTCACAATTCAGAAATTAGAAGAAAAAAAAATCCTACATCTAGACCAAATGTAAGTCATATCATACATCCCATTCATAGGATTCCCATCAAAATTCAAGTGAACTTGGCATTGCTAAATTTCTATTACATATCTTGCATCAAAATATCATTGGAGTCATAGTCATGGTAGTAGAAAATTTAGGAAAGGGTACATAAGACATACTCAGATATCACTCGGATGGGGTTGAAAATTACACATAATTAATGCAGTGGAAAAAAAATGTTTGGGCTGTAGTTGCCCTCCATCCGTATAAGAAATTCCACCCGTGCAAGTTAATTATAAGATTGAGGGATATATCATATATGCTTCCCATTTTTTTTATTATAGACAAATTGGGAACTACCTAGTAATTTAAGTCATAATTCATGCACAGCCATTTCATGCTCCACAGATACAAGAAATGTAATAAGAATTATGCATATAAAACTAAAATAGGAACACAGTATTCTCATTATATCTCTTCAACTATAAACAGCATTTTAAAACCACTTGCACTTTTGATCGATTATTGAGAATACTAATAGTACTATGGCCTCACAGCAACAGTAACAATATAATTTGGGTTCAACTTTTCTCAGTAGCATGCATAACAATGACAAAATTATATGAAAAAATGATCAGAGGTAAAGCTATAGGGAATGTCACAGTGACACAACACAGTTAGTAAAGGTTTAGGACATGTAACATGGGTTCAAACCGTGTAATGCAGTCCATCCCCTGTTCCCCTTCCCATGCCTCTATGGGCTTCCTCCAAGGCTTACCTCTGGTGTGGTGAGTCCTCCACTCCTCCCTTGAACCAAAATTAAAAGCTAAGGGGAGAGAATCTAACAGTTATGGTTATTCAATATGTATAAATGATAATTAATTCCTCTCCACCTAGAACTAGCTCAAGTGGAGTCAAAGATCATAGCTTCCATTTTCAATTCATCAAAAATGCAATTAATTACATTTCATTACCAACAATTAAAAATAAATTTTTCATGTAAATGTAATGGCAGAAAACCAGTCATTGTGTGGAGAGCATTGTTAGTTCAAAAATTTGACATATTTAAGCAGCAGTGACAAATATATTTTGTTACATAGAGAGAGATAAGGGTTTTTGTTCATTATCTTCCTCCACTAATCTATTAGGAAAGGAAATGCAAAATTTACATTACAACAATAGCATTATCCCAATAGGAAAACTAAATACATTTAAGGATTTGAGAGAAATGGGTCAGCATATACCTCACGGCGAGAAAGATCAGCCTTCCATGCAGCTTCACGCTCAGCAACCTCACGTTCTCGCTCTTCAATGTAACTTTGCATTTCTCTGTCCTTCATAATCCTATCCTGAATGTCAGCATCTAACGCCTCCTGCAACTCTTGGACAAATTTATCTACCACTGCCTTTATTCGGAGAGACATATTGTGCTAAAATCCCAACCTGACACCACACACACATCCAAAATAATCGTATCATATCAAATTACTCAGTTTGAGAAGTGGAATTAACTTACCCATTAGTTTAGCTCATTTCAAAGATTATTTTTTAGTTTAATTACCCTTTTGGTCACTGTAGTAACTTCTAATTCCTATAGTTAAAATCGTTTCATTTTAACATCTATACGTACCATTATTTTTTACCTTTTAGTCTCAATTGTCTATTTCTAGAGAGTAAAATGTAAAATTTATGAAACTATAAGTTTCAAAAGGAGACAAAAAATAATATGTATAAAGACTAAAATGTACTATTTTTAATCATATGACTAAAAAGTAAAGTTGATGAAATTATATGAACTAAAAGAGAAATTGAACCTTATATTTTGTGAGCTTCTTGAGAAAGCTTTAAAAGTCCCACAGAACAATCATTTCCTCAAAATTAATACAAACCAAACACTTTTTTTTTTTTTTTTTCCATTTCAAGCTCACAGGTTTGCGAAAAATTGCCATTGCCCTGAATTTCAAATTTAGGCTTCTCAATGAAGGCTTCCAATGTGAACGCAATTTATATCATTAAAAAAATGAAAATTCATAGTGTTCAGAACAAGCAACAGAAGCATAAAACGACACGTTAAGCATCTCTCAGGGTTCTACTATATTCTTTGAAATACCCCAATAACTTGTATCAAAAGAATATTCGATAGAAAAGCAAAACAAAGCGAAAACAATGATGTACACAAGAAACAAACCGCTTACGAAACCATATTAATAGAAACGAAACCCCATAATTATTTGGCATGAGAATCTGAGAAGGTGTACCTCAACGACGTCGTATTTGGAGACGAAATATTCTCTCACTTAAGTCTGACATATGCTCGTTGTTTCGCTTCGTTCGAGGGTTTTCGTTTTCGGTTACAACTGGGAGAAGCCTTCACAATTCAGCACAATGAGACGAAAGGGGAATGCGTGAACCAACTTCAAAACTGATTTTGGGTCTTAAAATTCCACTTCACTAATGAGGAAAAGGACTTTCTTGGGCCCATCTTATGCCCCACTTCCTCTTCTTTTATTTCGGCCCAAACATTTTTTGCTCCTCTTTTTTTTAATGGGAAGAAAGAAATGTGCGGTGAGTTTCATTCCTTGAAACGCAACGTTTTGGTTAATATTAGTATACTCCTCTTCCCACTCCCTCGTCCGTGTCTCAATTCAAATTCCATTTTGGGCACCAAAACCACGCTATCATCTCTTTGATATGCTCATGAATGAAGAGGTTGCATTCCCTCACTTTGCTTGGCCTCAAAGCAACCCATTGCCAAGCAATTAAGTTGGGCTCCATTGCAGACCTTTACATTGCCAACAACCTCATAACTTCTTATGCGAAATGCACACAATTAACCTTTGCTCATCAACTGTTCGACGAAATGCCCCACAGAGACACTGTGTCTTGGAACGCCATAATTTCCACTTATGCAAACTCCGGTCATTTGGACACCTCATGGCAGCTCCTCAGTGCCATGAGGAGGTCTGCACTCGCGTTTGACAGCCACACATTGGGAAGCATCCTTAAGGGTGTTGCCCGTGCTGGTGAGCTCCAGCTCGGGCAACAACTTCATTCTGTCATGCACAAGATGGGGCTGTCAGAAAATGTGTTTTCTGGCAGTGCCCTCTTGGACATGTATGCCAAGTGTGGGAGAGTTGATGATGCGTATGTTGTGTTTCGGAGCATGCCGGAGAGAAATTACGTGTCTTGGAATGCACTTGTTGCTGGTTATTCGCGAGTTGGCGATCATGATATGGCGTTTTGGGTGCTAAGTTGTATGGAGCTTGAGGGTGTAGAGATTGATGATGGCACGGTGTCTCCACTTTTGACATTGCTTAATGATGTTGAGTTTTATAGGTTGGTAATGCAGCTGCATTGTAAAATTGTGAAACACGGTCTGGAAGTTTTTAACAATGTATGCAATGCCACTATCACGGCATATTCGGAATGTTGCTCTTTGCAAGATGCTGAGAGAGTATTTGATGGTGCTTTTGCATGCCGTGATCTTGTTACATGGAATTCTATGCTGGGTGCTTACTTGATGCACGAAAAAGAAGATCTTGCGCTTAAAGTTTTCATTGATATGCAGAATTTTGGGTTTGAGCCTGATGCTTATACTTACACTGGGATTGTCAGTGCTTGTTCTGTGCAAGAGCATAAAAAGCGTGGAAAATGTTTACATGGGCTGGTTATAAAAAGGGGGCTTGAAGATTCTGTGCCCGTATCTAATGCTTTGATTGCCATGTATATCAGATTTAATGATAGGGGCATGGAAGATCCATTAAGAGTCTTCTTTTCCATGGGTTTCAAAGATTGTTGCACTTGGAACTCCATTTTGGCAGGGTTTGTACAAATTGGTTTGAGTGAAGAAGCCTTGAGGTTATTTCTACAGATGAGATCTATGGTCATAGAAATTGACCACTATACTTTTTCAGCTGCCATAAGATCGTGCTCAGATTTAGCAACTCTGCAGTTAGGTCAACAAGTTCATGCCTTAGCACTTAAAGTAGGCTTTGATACCAACAAATATGTTGGAAGTTCATTGATCTTCATGTATTCTAAATGTGGGATCATAGAAGATGCTAGGAAATCTTTTGAAGCAACTTCCAAAGACAATGCAATTGTTTGGAATTCAATCATCTTTGGGTATGCTCAACATGGACAAGGAAACATTGCACTTGACTTTTTTTACTTAATGAGAGAGAAAAGGGTGAAACCTGATCATATAACCTTTGTTGCAGTTCTAACTGCGTGTAGTCATAATGGGCTGGTAGAAGAAGGCTGCAACTTTATAGAGTCTATGGAGTCTGATTTCAGTATTCCACCGCAAAAGGAGCACTATGCTTGTGCAATTGATCTCTATGGTCGAGCAGGGCATCTTGAGAAGGCAAAAACATTGGTTGAAACAATGCCTTTCGAACCTGATGCAATGGTGTTGAAAACTTTATTAGGTGCCTGTAGATTTTGTAACGATATTGAATTAGCTAGTCAAGTAGCAAAAACTTTGCTAGAGATTGAGCCTGAGGAGCACTGCACATATGTTATACTCTCTGAAATGTATGGGCGTTTCAAGATGTGGGATGAAAAGGCTAGTGTAACTAGGATGATGCGAGAAAGGGGAGTGAAAAAGGTTCCAGGTTGGAGTTGGATTGAAGTGAAAAATAAAGTGCATGCTTTCAATGCTGAAGATCATTCCCATCCCCAATGTGAGGGGATATATATACTACTACAACAACTAAATGAGGGAATTAAGTTGTATAATAATTTTGTCAATCAAGTGTTGTTACTGCAATGTTTAGATAATCTAGATGGTTATGATGATCTAAAGCTCTTATGATTATTGTATATTGTTTGCTGGATTTGGTTGGAAGGTTTTAAGGATTGTGTGCACAGTGTCTTTTCACAAGATGCTGATATGAACTAAATGACAATGGGGAGACAACAAGTGTGTACACCTTTTCTGAAGCAAAGATTGTTATCATTATAACATTTGCTCTGGTGAATACTAGCAATGGGAGACAACGAACTACTTGAATTTGGTCTAGAAGCAATGACTATATAGAAGACAGGTATCATATGACTAGAGTCAGCTACTTGAGCAGTTAAATTGAGTCAACATGAAAGTATCTGCTTATTCATGGAGGCTGAGCCATTGCAGAGTTTTGAATTTTGTTGTTTATTTGGTTTGCTAGATCATTTCTACGACTAATCTATTTTAGCCATCATCTGAAACCAAAACTACAACTGCAACACATAAAGTACTAGAAACTCACAGTAGTGGAAGAGGGAGGCATTGGGGACAAGGAAGTTCCTTATTTGGGGGCAACGATAATTGACTAGTGGACATAACGTATGAATGCCTTGGTCTTTGGATGGAAAGCTTGAAGCAAATTGTGAAAATAAAACTGATCAAGTCAAACAAATTTGCTAGGTTGCATGCTTGGAAAAAGAATATTAAACAAGTTCTTTCAATCAAAGAATATCTTCCTGATCATGAAAAATGTTCATCCACCTTGAAAAGAGAAGGCATGGAATGAGTCATCAGTAATGCATGTGGCTTACACTTCAAATTGAAACAGTGTAGTGAAACTGGGAATGCATGAAGTAGATAAAAAATTGGCTGTCTTTGATTTTACGAATACATGAGTAACTGAAATTCTCTCCTTCATCCTTTCCAATATACTGACACAGAGTTTACATGGTTGTGTGTGAAATGTCAAAATGCAATGCTATTCCCACATTTTTATTTATTTTTAGCTGAATTGGGAACTACCAAGCAATTTAAGCCATAATTCGTGCACAGCCATTTCCATGCTCCAAAGATACAAGGAATGTAATCAGAGTTTTTCCCGTAGAACTAACATAGGGACAACAGTATTGTTCAACATGTTTACTGAAGATAGCAACAAATAACAGGTAGCATATCAATATATTGTTTCAATTCTTGATCCAGCAAAATTTTGCAGTTCGGTGCAGAAATTTATTGATATTTTATACAAGGCTTCCTGGGATCCCTTCTAATTGACAATTGAGAGATAGTGAATGTATTTAAGCCAGAATATGTGAAGGCAGATTTGCATTGCTGATACGGGAGGTAGGGAATACTTTTCTATTCCCATCATTTGCTTGCTGATACCTCAGCACAATTATACACACACATAGTTACTGTGTCATTTCGATGATTTATTTTATTTGAAAATTTCTTGTTATCTTGTACATGTCAGTCAATCAAAAAAGGAAACTTTATCACTCAGACTAAAGTGGATTTTGATATATGCATTATGACGGTTGCTGGTCTTCTTAATCTTGGGTAAGCCACAATTCACTGCAAAAAGATATTCTTATTTCTTACCCATTTATTGATCTTCATTCTTCAGTAAAAACCTATTTGAAACAAGAAAATAAAAAGAAAATATTTTTTCTTGCAAATATCTGTATCCATTAATTAAATTAATCATTTCATACAAAAGCACTTGCAATACATTATTTTATAAAAGTCCAAAAATTATATTCACACATATATTATCAGTAGAATAAGTATATTAATTAATATTAAATAATTTATATACAATTACATCAAACAATCTTAAATCTATTTCTAGTTTATGACATGAAATCTGTTTAGATATAAATAATAAGTATTTTTAGGAGTTTTTCAACTAAAAAAAAAATATTTTTTTTTAATAAATAAGCTCTAAAAGAAACACTTGTAATTTTGAATTGAAACATACACATAAGTTAGCCCAGCTCTTAGTTAGATTGTTTAGGCAAACATATATTTAAAAGCGGTTTAAGCTGTGCAGAGGTTTTCCCAATATATCCTGAAAGTTGTCTGAACACGGACACAAGACCCTGTCCAGGAAGAAACTTGAGGCCTGAAAATCTTCATGTCAAAACAAAGAGTAAAGAGCAAATGAGGAATTGTGCACGACATTCGAAAAGGGCCAATGCAGAAGCAGTTGTGGGGCACATAAAGGGTCAAAGAGGAGCAAAGGAACATGGCTCCAAATTAAGTGCAAGATACTGAGATACTGAGATGGCATGCATGGGGACAATTCAAGATGAAGTTGCTTTGGGTAGAGGGCATTAGAAGCTAGCCTGAAGGAGCCATTGGACTAACTAAGGATACTAAAAACTTAGAACCACAAACATGCATGTGCAGGCATGTGCGTTCCGTTCCCACCACAAGGTCCAGCTAAGAATCAATGCAAGGCCACATTGATAGCATCAAACCCAATTACCTGCAACCAAAAGTTGGCACCTATCTTAACTTCTTGCATTTGTGTTTCTTTACTAAACACCAAATTTGACCCATCTTATAAACATAAAGATATTATTGAAAATTTTACTTTATTTTTATAAAAACCGATGGATATAAACACGTGTACACACTTTCCTTCGTCAAATATTTATCTCTTTCATGTTTTAATCTCTTTCTTATGTGTGTAAGTTGTATAAAAAATTTTAAGTATAACCACAAAAAAATTTCTTGGACACCTAATTAATTAGCTAGGTATTAATTGTCACCTAGAGAAGCTGGGAAATGAGTAAAAGTACTGGTTGGATAAATTTTTTATAGAACCACTATTAGGAGAAAAAATATATATATAAAAATAAACTTTTTCATAATTCTAAATCTATCTTATACATAAGTTAAAAATAATAAGTTAAAAATAATATTTTGGAGAAGTAAGTAGAAGAGATTAAGTGTCTACAAAATAATTTATAATATAAAGAAACTTATTTTCTATTTTCTTTTAATTTTTCTCTCCTAGAAGTGTTTTAATTTCAGAAAAATTTACTCATACAGACTCGTAAAGATATGCAATAGAAAAATAAATAGATAATTAATAAATGTTAATAGTGTATCATATGTGAAATATGATTAGAATTACTCTTATATTTTTTCACCTCTTTCTTTTATTTTTTTTTAAATATTACTCTTGACTTTAATTATGTCTACATATTTTATTATGATATAAAAGAAAGAAAGAAAATTTTCTGAAATTTTCTTTCCTCTCTTCTAACATGAAAGGGTGGGTGTGACGTACAGTAGTATTATACTATTATAGTTAATAAGAAGTGTGAGAAAAATATTTTTATATGCAAATTAATATTTATATATTATTATAAGTAAGCAATAATTTTATTTTATTTTTAACAAATAGCTATATCAATTTTAAGTGGACCCATCTAATCTAAACTAATTTGCTCTCAACCTGTCAAAAAATGAGTTATGTTGAGTTGAATCAGTCTTAGATTTGAGCACAAAAATTTAACTCAACTCAACTCTAGTAGATATTATGGGTTGAGTTAATTTGATCCATAAAAAAAAAATGTTATAAAATAATGGATGAGTCACCTCCTACATAAAAATTACAAACCGTCTATACATAAGGACGTCATAATTATAATAATGCTATCCTACTAAATTCTCTCGACACAAATACTCTCTTGAAACTATATCACGAGGTAAAGGATTGTACAAAACAACGTAAAATTCATAATTAATGAAGTAATACTATTTTCAATTCTAATTATAAGTAATATATAATAAATTATCAAAATTAAGAAAAATAATTAATATAATTACCTTTAATTTATTTTACCTTAAATTTATGTTTTATATCAACGTTTATTGGTTTAACTATAGTGTTATAGTTGGTTCCTAAACCTCAAGGTCCTGGATTTGATAAAAAAAATTTAAAAGAAATAATTTTAATGTAGTCAAAGACATGAGAAAAACTAATTTTCGACGAAGTTGGTAAATACTCTTGTCAATACTATGATACTAAAATAATTATGTTTTTCAACAATAAATGAAGGGCATAAAATAAATTTAACTTTGAATAACTTAAAAAATAAACTAATGATTATTACTTATAATCATAATCAAAAAAAATTTAATTTGATTATTATTAGGACTAAAGATATAATATTATATTTTTAATCAAATAATTCATCAAAATATTTACATGTTGGATTGGTAGGTCATGCAAATAAAAAAGTTAAATTATAGGAGAGGGATCTACTTAAAGATCTATTTGGATAATATTTTCTAAAAACATTTATATGAAACAAATTGAAATAAGTTTTTCTGTAAGATAAAATTAACTTATGCATGAATTAAATATAAGATTTTGGAAAAATTAATATGAGAGAACTTCTATAAATTTTCAATTTTTGAAGAAACTTTTTTTTTTCCTCCCCTAAAAACGTATATGGAGAAGTTTACTCAAACAAGTCCTAAGATTAACTTTTAGTAAAATTATTTCACTTAATAACTCATGATTTATATTAAATATTTGATAATTTAGTACATCAATTTAAATTAACCCATATTCATGAAAATATATTTATGTTAATTTAATTGAATCTATATAACAAAATAAAGCAAAAATTTATAGACTTGATATATTTATTAAGAACTTTTAATTTAGTAATTATATCATTGAAATTCAACGTAAACCATGGATTATTGAATGAAATTATTTTTGAAGTAAATTAATCTCTCCTCATACACCTAATTAAACTCATTTTAACATATTAAATAAATTTATTCACAAAATTTAACATCCTTTATTAATCCTCAATTTAATTTAATCTCCCACATGCTTATTCATTTCCTTTGTTTTGGATCTTTATCTTATGCATATTATCCAAACTCCCATCACTAAGTCTATCCTAAGGCGATTTCCTTTGTTTTCACTCTTTGTAATTAATAAATTAATCATTGTCTTGTTAAGTTTCCTCTCTTTTCGAACATAAACACCATAAGGTTGTCTCTTGGTGGGGAGAAGTTGAAATAATGTATACAAGATTTTAGATTCAAACTTTATTATTATCATTATACTTTTTGACTAATTA